CCCCCCCCCCGGTGCTCGTTCCTGTGGCATTGGAAGAAGCAAGTCTGTCCGGCCAAGGGCGGCAAGGGCTGTGCAGGGGACGGGCAGGGTCCCCCCTGGGCCAGGGCTGCTGAAGGAGCCCCTTTTCCTCCAACCCTGGTTCACTTGGGTTCTGGGGTTTGTTTGGTATGGTTTGGGTGTTTGTGTTTTTTGGGGGGGTGGAGGAAGGTTGCCTCCAAAGAGGTGTAGTGATGGCAGCTCTGAATGCTGAGAATGATGGCCCAAGAGATTTCCCACACCAGTGGGATTCAACAATTGGTTTTGCTTTTAATACACTCAGCAGAATAACAAGCAGCCTGTGCCCACTTTCAAGGTGACACATCATCTGACTTGGTCATAGCCGCCCCCCCCCCTCAAATTAAAAAGCTGAAGAGGCACACGAGTCTCTAAGCACCTCATGCAAAGTATCTGATCAGGTAGTAGCACACACTTAGGCATGATAGACAACCTGCCCATCCCTGTCGCTCCCAGACAAAGGCTTTGCTAACTCACTTGAAGTTCAATGCATAGAATGGATCTCTGTATGCCTCCTTTAGCATCATGAGCATGGCGTTCAGTACTCAATGGTGGTAAATTAAGTGTGTGGGCAGACAGGAGAGACTGAGAGAGAGAGAGAGAGAGAGAGAGAGAGAGAGAGGAGAAACCACCTGATTGGAGTTTGTTGAAGGCCAGATCTTCAAAATGGCTGCCTACACCCTCAAGAGCACAATAACCCTGACCCACAATATAAAATTGTCTTAATGTTACACTCTTCTGCACAGAAGAAACAGGACCCTATCTGAAGGCCTATCCAGGTTGTGGGGGAGGCACAAACGTAATCAGTGCACACTTGTGACTCATTTGTTTTTGGAGATCTAAACACATTTCAAATGGCATTTTCTTTGGAGATGATGCCTGCCTTCAGCACTTAAACCACAATGGAGTATTGCTAAGGCAACTCAGTTTACCCGTCATAAAGGTTCTGAGTTGCAACTGGTGGTTGCTCTGGTTGTCTTAGTTTAAGGAGTACCACCTCATTGTAATAATGCACAAGGAATAGCTATGTGTGATTCTTCAGCAGTGGGCCCTGCTCTGCTCAGTAGAGTTTATTCCCCAGGTAAGTGTGCAGAGGATTATGGCCTTAATTAATTGATGTGTGTTTCCCCATTCCAGCAGTAGAGACACAAAGCATACACGACTTTCCATTTAAGAGCAAATGTGATGTTATGCATGGGTAACCCTCCCCATTCTATTACGTAGGCAAGGCATAAAGCTGTCTTGATGCTGGGCTGGGACACAGGCTAGTATAAACCACAGTAGCCATCTGTATGCAGTTTCCTTGGATGTTTGTTTCACACAATGGTGTAGAAATCTGCCCAACACCCCTGCAGAGTCAGCCAGTACAGTATTATTATATTACAGGTTGCTAGGAGAGGTGGGGGCTGAAATATATTTGTTCATGCACTCAGGGGTGGGTTTCAACTGTGGATTGATTGGCTTGTGCTGTTTACTATTATACTCTCCCCAACTAAGGCATGTGTGCACATGTCTTTAAAAGACTATAAAATAAATGTGTGGGTGGGGAAGGACAAACCAGGTGTAATATATGAAGGAACTGAAGCAAGCAGTGCATCGACTGCTTTTGACCTTCATAGCTCAATACATTCATTTCTAAGCCATTCTTGAGGAGCAAAGTGATGATAAAATAGGAGGGTAGTTATGATGAAATATCTGCCTGCCTTTTAATATACCTGCTGCCAACCAGCACATTCCCTAAGAAGTTCAGATAAGCTTTTACTGGATGACTACCTTTGTGAAAAAGGGCCATAAATAGTTACATGAAATAATGTTTTGTTAAAAGAAATCTATTTATTTGCCAAGTGGCAAACTGAGAGAAAAACAAGGAGGAAGCAAGAATGAAGTGAATGAGAAACAAAGGGATTTAAAAAAACCCAGTGGGGTCTGTACAGATTGAATGAAATATCAGTAGTCATGTCTTCAATGAGTATGTGTGTGCACCCACGCACACATGCTGCTATCATTCTGTGTTTCTGCTTTAGGATGTAAGGATTATCCTGGTCACCAGCTCAACACTTTGCTGGTTTATGTCATAATTTAAAGCATCTCATGGCTTTCCTTTTCTCCTCCCCCCCCCTTTTAATGTCTCTACAGCTGTTCCAACTTCAGGAAAGTCTGGAAGTGTGCCTTACATGAACACAGGTAGCATATGTCATTAACATTTTAACTTTCACATACTATGAACCTAAGCAAGAATAATCTAAAAGAGGGATGTTTAAGAGCTGTGCCAAAACCAACACGAAGACCACAACAATGGTTCATATTTATTAACTTAAAAAATAGTATTCAGTGTTTCATATGTGTTGTTTCTGAAGTCCTTACAACAGGGGTGGGGAAGAAGTTGTTATTTAGTTAAGTCGTGTCCGACTCTTTGTAACCCCATGGACCAGAGCACGCCAGGCTCTCCTGTCTTCCACTGCCTCCCAGAGTGGGGTCAAATTCATGTTGGGAAGAAGTAGCTGGATTTTAATTCTCAGTTTTGGCTATGTTCGTTCAGACTCATGCCATCCAGCAACATCTGGAAAGCCAGATATTCCTCATCTGTGCCTTAAAACATCCCCTCAAAGACACTGCAAATATATGGCAGTTTTGCAGGATGGAAATGGCTGAGATTGGGAGAGAGGAGTTCAGGCTTCATATTATGTGGTTGCTGGCTTTTGTAGTAGAAAGAATCAGGCAGCCGTTCATGGCAAAGACTTCTCCCTGAGACCCTGGACAACTGCTGTCTGTCAGGGTAGAGAATTCAGCATATACAATAAGATGGGATTCTTAGGATAGTGGTATGTAGAAAGGCAGTATGCTACTTGAACAAGGGACTTCCTGGCATATACTTTTAGCTGCTCAACCACATTCGTTCACTCTATCTAACTGTATCTAAGCCAATAGTCGATGATATTACATCCAATGGACTAAGGGTCTGGGAGTGGGAAGAAAGCACATTTGTTTGGATTTATTTAGATCAGACCTCCAGCTCTTAAGATTCTCTGACTCTCTGTCTCACTGGAGCCTCTTGTTTCTGTGCACAGGTGAAAAAGTGAAAACCCGGAAGTTCCAGCAGGATGTGAAGCCTAGAGATGAGCAGTAATTACTGCAACAACGTGTCAGTGAGCATGAATGTCAACGAGGTGTCCAACTTGCCCCTGACTCTGGAGCAAAAAACCGGCTTTGCCTTTGTAGGGATCCTGTGTGTCTTTTTGGGACTTCTGATTATAAGATGCTTCAAAATCTTACTAGACCCTTATAGCAGTATGCCATCTTCCACATGGGAGGATGAGGTCGAAGGGCTGGATAAGGGGACGTTTGAATATGCTCTTGCATGAAGAAAAAAAAATCCCAGAAAATTTCTCTTAATTTCTAAATTGCCTTAATTTCTCTTGTTGTGGGGCTGGTTTGATTCATTTTGGGGTGGGTGAGGGAATATCCTCGTGAGGAGGCATTTGTAATAGACACTGACGTTTCAAAGATGTGGCAGTGGCATCCTTTGGTTAAATAAAGCTTTGTTGCAGATTCATAAATCATTTTCACAACTTTTGCTTTAGGATATTGCAGTTTTAAAAAAAGACTGGAAAAAAGAAGGAACTAATGATGTATAGGGAAATCTGAAGCCTAAACAAGGCCAATACAAGATGAAGTTGAGCCACTTGGGGGACAGAGCTCCCTTCTGCTGATATCATCATGGATTTAAAGCATATTTCCTCTGGAGGATCAAGTTCCATAGGCTGAAGAAGCCAAAAAATACAAATATCAGTAATTCCTAAAGTAACGGAAGGATATCACAAAGTCATCTGTGGTGCTGGTGATGATGTCTCTAAAGAACATGTCATTTTGTCATGTGAAAGCCATGCATAAGGACAGAAGCATCACACAGGATCAGGCCAGGCTCTGTAATTAGGCAGCTAAAGATGATGACCTCCGGTGGCAGTTGTTGAGGGGGGTCGTACTGGCAAATCTCAGAGTGTTTTCTTCTCTTGGAGGAAAGGTCTCTGTATGTCACATGGCCAATCCTATTCAGAGCATGGAAGTGTTACTTTTGTTAAACTACCTCTCAGAGAATTCTCCGTGCCAGCCATGGCTGTTCCATGGCTGGTATTTAGGCAAGAAGCCAGTTAGCTTCTGTGTGGCAAAGGGGAGAGAGTCCCCCGCCCCTCTACTTGTCCTTTGCCTTGGGTAGAAAAATGTCTTGATCAGTCCCTGGATGAGAGAGCTGTGTGGGACCCCACTTGTAATGGGATGCAGTGGGACCATAAGCCATTGCAGTGGCTCCTTCATACACAGATGACTAGTGTGTTATTTCAAGTTCCCCAGTGAACTGCAAGATGAACCAAAGACTTCCATTTGTGATCACTATATTGGTCTTAAAATAAAAATAAAAAATGTCAATTTTACTCATTTTCAAAAACAAAGTTCCCCTATATATAAACAAGCTGAATCACAGCTACATCCCTGTAGCAAACACATTCAGACAGAGGGAATGGCCTTAAAACATTCAAGCAAGAAATTACTATGATCAGATTGAAAGCTAAGTGCTGCCCCAGACTGCTTTTGCTCCTATTATAGTGTGTGACAACATACAAATTAAAGTGTGCACTCAGATATATTTATAGACACAAATAAATTCTGCAGTTGTTATTCTCACATGAAAAGAAAAGCTGCCAGATGTTAACTCACTAAAATTTTGTATGATTTCCCCAAGTCCTTTGCACCACTTGAACTTGCTCAGTACAGTCCACACAACATTAAAAGCACATTTTCCTTAAAAAGGAAAGGCAAGCTCTTCATGTACCAAAATACAGTACTAATCTGCATTTGTTTTGCAAATAGCTATCAGGAGATAAGCACAGCTTTATTTTCACGTCTAATGAAAAAATTTCCTGCCTTGTAGAATAATGCTATAAAGAGAAAGAAATATGCATTTGCTTGAAAGTGCGATGGTGAGCATTAGCTAACACATAAGGCAAGGCCCTATGGAGGTGTGATCCGGAAGAACATTAACTCATGCTAAAACATTCCGTACTGCAAACTGAGTAGCTGAAATTGTACAGCACAGTAAACTGAAAGTACAAAGCAGGGGGTTGTCCCTTAAAGAAAGTGATGATTGATGTCCACATGATTTAGGGCGGAGTGCATGGTTTTCAAACACTAAAGTCACTGGCATGGGGGTGTGGAATGGGCATGGGAAAGCTGGGTAGGACTGTATGGGAACAGGAAAAAACCCAGGCAATCCCCCTCCTATGTCTTGTCATGTGTAGGGGCAAAGCGTATCCTCCCATGCCAATGGGAGCTTTATTTCCATAGAGAAAAGCAGGTAAAAGTTGGGGGGCAGTGGGGTGAAGGCTGCCACAGTGAAGGCTGTCCAGAGAAGTTTCAAGGCAGCATACAGAAGAGACAATAAAAAGTTGTGCTTCAAGGTCATTGCTTAGCTTAGCTCAGACATTTGAGAGAAAGAGTGACAGTATTTGAAAGCCATTCAATTCCATTTAGAGGCAGGCTGGAGTCAAAATTTCATCTCCGCATTGTCACTCTTGTTAAAGAGGAGCTCCAAAAACCACCAAGAGATAAGGCCGATTGGAACAGACAGCACTTTCATTCATTTATATAATTTCATACTGTGCCATTTGCCTTATAATCTTGACAGATGGCAACTGGGGAATAGTGATTCTGTCGGCTAAATGAAATGCCACTCAGGCTGGACTGGCTCTCGCTGGCAATGCCAAGAAGAACAGATAGCCAGAGTCCAAAGGCAGAAGCAGGTTCAAGTAAAGCATACAACGGAAACCCACACAAGGTGGGGAGCAGTTCAGTTGTCCAGAGATTAAAAATTGTGTTGGCAGAGGGATTCTGGGAGTTGTTGTTATTATGATGATGATGAGGAGGAGGAGGAGGAGGAGGAGATAAGTTCTGAGAAGACTGCAGTTTCTAACCCTGCTTTTTCTCCAGAAGGCAGCACTTGAGTAAGAGGGCTAGGAAGGATACCTGCCCTCATACACAGGTTTTGGTTTTCCCTGTTGAGGTTTCCATCATCTCAATAGAAATGCTTGGATGCGTCCAGGCAGAAGGGGTGGCCAGGGCTGGAAAACGGTGGAGTTCACAGACTTGCCTCTCAACTTGGTTCAGCAAGCCAGAGGAATAACATACACTTTCCTTCCTAACTTGTGCCACAAGTGGTAAAAAGCATTTTGCTTCTCATCTAGTGTTAAGATTACAAATCTTTCAAGTCTAACATTGCTAGTCTCAACTAGAGCAGACCAACTGGAACCACTGATGAACAGTAAGTAAGCTCAGTAAGTTGGAGCACATGGCTGCACAGCCAGAGGCTGGGACTTTGATTCCACACTAATTTGAATCCTCCACCTGGAAATACACTTAGCTTGTAAGTAAGTTTTGGCAGATTGTGCTCCAACCCTGGAGACATTAGAGAGAAAACTGGCCAACCATCTGTCAGAACTCCTTTGATTTGGATTCCTGAACTGAGCAGGGGGTTGGATTCAATGGCCTTAGGGGCTTCTTTTTGTTGTAGTTTAGTCGTTAAGTCATGTCCGACTCTTTGTGACCCCATGGACCAGAGCACGCCAGGCCCTCCTGTCTTCTACTGCCTCCCGGAGTTTGATCAAATTCATGTTGGTCACTTCGATGACACTGTCCATTCATCTCGTCCTCTGTCGTCCCCTTCTCCTCTTGCCTTCACTCTTTCCCAACATCACGGTCTTTTCCAGGGAGGGAGTCCTCTCTTCTCATGAGATGGCCGAAGTATTGGAGCCTCAGCTTCCGGATCTGTCCTTCCAGTGAGCACTCGGGGTTGATTTCCTTCAAAATGGATAGGTTTGATCTCCTTACAGTCCAGGAGACTCTCAAGAGCCTCCTCCAGCACCACAATTCAAAAGCATCAATTCTTCAGCAGCCAGCCTTCTTTATGGTCCAGCTCTCACTTCCATACATCGCTACTGGAAAAACCATAGCTTTGACTATGTGTACTTTTGTCGGCAAGGTGATACCTCTGCTTTTTAAGATGCTGTTGAAGTTTGTCATCGCTTTCCTCCCAAGAAGCAGGCACCTTTTAATTTCGTGGCTGCTGTCCCCTTCTGCAGTGATCATGGAGCCCAAGAAAGTAAAATCTGTCACTGCCTCCATATCTTCCCCTTCTATTTGCCAGAAAGTGATGGGACCAGTGGCCATGATCTTAGTTTTCTTTTTGTTTTGTTTTTTTGGATGTTGAGCTTCAGACCATTTTTCGCACTCTTCTCTTTCACCCTCATTAAGAGGTTCTTTAATTCCTCCTTACTTTCTGCCATCAGAGTGGTATCATCTGCATATTGGAGGTTGTTGATATTTCTTCCGGCAATCTTAATTCCGGTTTGGGAATCCTCCAGTCCAGCCTTTCGCATGATGTATTCTGCATATAAGTCAAATAAGCCAGGGCACAATATACAGCCTTGTCATACTCCTTTCCCAATTTTGAACCAATCAGTTGTTCCATATCCAGTTCTAACTGTTGCTTCCTGTCCCACATATAGGTTTCTCAGGAGATAGATAAGGTGGTCAGGCACTCCCATTTCTTTAAGGACTTGCCATAGTTTGCTGTGGTCCACACAGTCAAAGGCTTTTGCATAGTCAATGAAGCATAAGTAGATGTTTTTCTGGAACTCTCTGACTTTCTCCATAATCCAGCGCACGTTAGCAATTTGGTCTCTAGTTCCTCTGCCCCTTCGAAATCCAGCTTATACTTCTGGGAGTTCTCGGTCCACATACTGCTGAAGCCTACCTTGTAGGATTTTGAGCATAACCTTGCTAGCGTGTGAAATGAGGCCCCCTTACAACTGCATATTTCTAGGATTTATAAAATGAAAGACTGACCTTTTAAAACTTCAAGGACATAAACAAAAATCAAACATATAGGCATTAATATTTAAAATCTCTAGTATGTTCCTGCACAATAGCCATTTCAGTAACACCTGACTGCCTGGGAATATAGTTCTCAGAAGTCCTGATCACACTGGTGCAGGTGCCTTTCCAGCTACAACCATAGTTTATAAACTCATGGGAGCAGAGGTCAAGAGCTTGGAGAGTAACTAAATTACTTTCACCAGATCCAATGACTTTTAACAGGAGTTGGGTGCCAAATTTGACTCCTTCCATCCAAGAATTAATGGGCTCATTATAAGCTAATATTTAACAAGCTGAAATGCTCCTCTGAACACATGGCTGGCAGCCTCAGAGGCTCTGCCACAAATCCATCAGTTGGCTGAATCTCCTGCAGTCTGATACAGGAAGGAAGACCTGGTTCATATCTAGGCACAACAGCAAATAGGAATCAACCTGATGTTTATGTTGACAGGGCAACAAGTGGCAGTTGCAGCCCCTTGGAATACTGCTGGCTTATTCTGAGCATAGTTCAAATACCCCCAAAGACAAACCACAGAAGCAGATGGATCTCTGAAATTACCCTGCTACTTCCCCTTTAATACCATTTGAAACAGGTAAGCTTTCGTTGGTTTATTTAATTCCTCTTTAGGGTTTTTCAGCTCATTCATTCACAATTTGGTTGGATTGTTTGCATGCTGCTAAGAGTTAGTTTATCCTTAACCTTATCGCAATGGCTGAAATCTAGTAGTATGTTGCAGCTAGGCTAGTTTCACTGGATTGATGGAAATATGCAGACTATATTTGTGAATAGGTTTTTGGAAACGCTTCTGATTGCTGAAATAAGCATGTTGTGAAATTATCTTCAGTGCCTCAGTTTCTAGTGCACACTAGGAATCCAGTCTAGAGAGAGCTGCAAGCTACAAAGTATTTACACACAATGGGTAGCTGGAAATTGGGGTCAGCTATACCAAACGGCCAAGTTTTTATAAATTGCTTAATTTGTTCCTGTGTGGAAGTTAGGCTGGAATAGACCACATCCAGTACTAGATTACAGAGTTCACATCTAAGTCTGCTAAGGACCACTGATTTCAATTGGACTAAACAGACCTAAGTATTGGCCTACAAACAAATACAGTCACACTGAGCACTCTGGAAACTTCAGTGTGCCAGTATAAAGATGAAGCTGGTACCCTGGTAAAAAGGAAGCTGATGATCTGCCAAATAAATAGAGCAGTCTGGTACCATTTTAACTGCCATGGTGCCATCCTAAGAAATCCTGAGGTCTGTAGTTTGGGGAAGGCTTACAATCCACCCCCCACCCCTGGCAAGAGTTATCATCCCCTCCCATCACAATAGCACAGAATTCAAGGTCCCTTCTCTGATGTAGACATCCCAGGATTCCTTAGCATGGAGCTCTGACTGTTAAAATGGCACCAGACTAATATTACGGTGCAGTACAGATAAACTCTCAGACACTTATCCTGAACCTACTTTTGGCTTGCCCATTTTGGAAGAGCAAGTCCTCTCTTGGGAGGATGTTCTGGTGCTTCCTGGGTCAGATACGCTAGTGGAACAGGCCAGGGTTTCTTAATGATAGTATTGGGCTGCCTTAGAATAGAAACAAATCAGCTGATTGGCCAAATTAGCAAACTAAAATTGGTTTTCAGCTGTTGATGAATCTGCCCGTTATACTCATTTAAAATTTCAGCCCTAATTATCTTGAACCAACCAGCTGTATCTAAGTAAATGAGACAGAAGAAATGGTCTCAAGACTGCCATATTTTCCAAAGTTCTCCCGCGCCACCCCCTGCCCCGCTTCTCCTTGCTAATCAATGGCAAACCGACTGCTGTCTTTAAGGAACCAAGAGATGACTTTTCTGACTTTGCAGGAAATAGCCCCATATCAACATGTAACTTTAGTGGAACCCAGTTTTGTTTGTTTGTTTGTTGTTGTTTTTGTGAACCCTGAGGTCTGATCAAGAGCATCAGTTTGCCTACAGAAACAGGACATGAACTTGTGAAAGGAAAGCAAAATCCAGTCCTAGATTTCAGCAGTCAACAGCCATCTATTTGTATCCTAAATTACTTTGAGCAAATGCCTGGTGTGCTCTGGTCCATGGGGTCACGAAGAGTCGGACACAACTTAATGACTAAACAACAACAAGCAGCTCACAGAATTTGGAAACTCTACTTCTATTAATGCAGCCTAAAATAGCATTTGCCTTTTTTGTAGCCACAACACACGACTGGCTCATATTTAGTTTGTGATCTACGACAATTCCAAGATCCTTCTCACTCGTGGTTTTGCTGAGCCAGGTATCCCCCATCTTGTAACTGTGCCATTGGTTTCTTTTTTCAAGGTGCAGTACTTTGCACTTATCCCTGTTGAAAGTGCACACACAAAAACATGGGGAATGGGGGGGGGAAGTGCTAGGTCCAGCATGATGACGGGCTTACCAATGGCCGTTAAGGGTCTCTAATAGTCTTCAGAGGGAGAGAGGTGGTACATGCAGGCCCTAATAGTAGTCATTAGGAGTCACTGAAACACCAGTGGTGGACAGTAGCGTAGTCAAACTAGGGTACCAGTTTTCACAGCCTCTCGTATCATCTCTTGAGTTGAGTTGCCATCCTCACAACAGCTGAGGGAGAAATGAGTTTTCCAAGGAGAGTACAGTACTGTTCCAAGCTATCTCTATTGCAGAGTGTCAAAGGACGGGTCAGTTTGGAACGGGAAAATAAGAGGCTTTAATGTTATATTAAAAAATGCTCATTATAGAGAATATGCTGTTTAACAGAATTCTTCACAAAATGGGTGTAGCATTTGACTTTTGTGGCCCTTATACCCAGGATCTCTTTGTGCAAGTGTAAACTGGCTTTCGGTAACCAAGACCTCCACTAATGCAAGTGCATTAGTGCTGTTACAGCACTGGCATGTCATTTTGTTCTGCTGGTGCCCTAACACAACATCAGCCTTAGTGATGGGAGGGAAATTACCTAGTTAAGATGGCATTCCCCCCCCCTTGTTTCATGACAGATCTGCAGACGCTTTAAGACAACAGCATAAGAGTTCCCGTGGAAGTGGTTGCCAACTGAGACACCAAGACATCCCAGGTTCTACAACAGCCATATGTTAAAGATCTGACAACAGAGAAACTGAAAGGTCAGGAAGATAAGCACTTATTGCCCAGAAACATGTCTATGAATAATTCTCCAAACATATTTTCCACACCAAATCTGAACAGATTTCAGGTCAATGTCATCAATGAAAACCATGAGAATACAGCACCATCTCAGAGAGATTCTGAGTCCCAATGTTATGAAGAGACATCCTTTGCTGATGAGACCAGTAACAGACTCCGAATCAGCTACAGACCTGGACATCGTGAAGTATATGACAATTTGTTTCAAAATGGGGATCCAGCTAAAACAGATGGAAGTTTTCACCCCTACAATACCCATAGTAACACGTATTACTTGAAAACATTTGGTCATAACACAATAGATGTCGTGCCTAGAATTGATTATTATCGGAACACTGGCAGCATCAGCGGGGTCAAAATGAACAGGCCAAGTCTGATGGACATTCACGAACAGTTAGCAAAGGTAGGTCAAGAAAGAAAAGAGAAAAACATTATTGCCTGGGGTTTTTGTCTGGTTACTGGCAAAATAAATCATACAGCTTCAACTCTGAAGTTAAAAGACCTTCCGTTTCAGACACAGAGCTTGATCCAACTCAAAAGTATGCCTTTATACTCCTGCTAGATATGGATACACCTTATTGTAGCCTTCTGTGCTGAGCTATGATGGGTGACTGAATTTAGTGTCAGGCTCTCCAGAGCATCATTTGTGAAAATGCTCTCCAATGGCTTTGCCTGCAAATGTACTACTGTAAAAGTTTACCTTTCATTCAATAGAGTTTGCCAAGACAGGTAGATAGTAAAAAACTGGTAGATGTTTAGCAATTTGGGCTTCTTTGAAGTTTGCAACTCCTTCAGGGCACCTGTTCAGGATAACAGTGGTGGGCACCCAGGACTGATATGAGGGGACAGTGAATTCACTCTAGGTTTTGTCTGAACTTTGCAAGAAACCTTTATGGTACTGAACCTATTTGGACATAAGGTTCTTCACCTTGGCTAGCTCCTACACTAAAATTCAGAGTAGAAACACTGCCCCACCGACCTGGAGCTATCAGTATCTACTAACACTGGCATGTAAGTGCTCAGCTTCTTTGGACTGGGCCTTTAGATACACAAAGACCTCCCCATTGTTATACATAATAAAGCAAAAAACAAATAGGTCAGCCTGTAGAACCCTGACACATAGTTTGCAGGAAATGTTGCACTTAAAAACAAAACCAGAGCATCTGCTAATGTTGATTCCATTACCACAATCTGCAAAATCTCCTCAATGTACATACTGATGCTCCTTTTTTGATTTGAGAGTGAATAAAACCATTTTTTAAAAAACAATTGTTTAGAATATTGCAGTGTCTTCTGGTTCAGCTGATAAAGTCACCAAAACAGATGGCAATGCAGGAAATGGTGAATGCAACACAGAAGAAACCAAAGGAGGCTTTGTGAAATTTGGATGGATGAAGGGTGTCCTGGTAAGCAAAATATACCATGCTCCTTGTCCATATAGAGGCAATCAAATTTTGTTCCCTTAATTTGAAAATCTGTGCACCACATTTTAAAGAAAGCCATGCATGGGCTTGTGCTAGAGATGACTCACAGTGATTAATATATTGTCTTTTAATTCCTTTGAGATACAAAAGTAGGGGTGATTAGCAGCTGTACCTTACTTAAATTGTGCTGGTATAGCTTAGTAAGTTGTAGTACCAGTAGTTCAAATCCCCACTGTGCCGTCTGGCAGAAGGGCCAGTCGAGACCAATGCATGTGTGGCTGATGGCACTATGTGGCCTTTGACCTAGGTCACCTTGGGCAAAACGCGCAATCCTATAGCACCACCAGAAGAGGGACTGGTAAACCACTTTTGAATAGTGTATGCCTAGAAAACTTTGGGTGGTTGCCATAACTCAGAACTGATTTGATGCCACACAATGATTACTTGAATGTTCCATTTTTGAAAAATCCACAATATTTTAAAATTGGGAATATCCATTTTTTTGCAATGTAGCTATAGTTCTTGCCGCCACACTGTTGTTTTCAGATACTATTTTATATAGTTGTGTTCATATTATTTTATATTCTAAGGGCTTCTTGGCTTCATAATGCGTCTTATCTTATCTACCTTTAAAATCACAGTCCATAGGGTGATACCTTCAGATGTGTTGCTCCATAACTAATAGAAAAGAGGAAAGGGACACAATTATAGGTAATGTTCATATACTCATTGAAATAACTTGCATCATCTTATAATTGTGCTTGTTCAACGTTTTAGGTCAGATGTATGCTGAATATCTGGGGTGTGATGCTGTTCATTCGTCTTTCCTGGATTGTAGGTCAAGCCGGAATTGGTATGCATTTTTTGAGTGCAATTTCTATTCTATGAAAGAGAAATATGAGAAACTTCCCAGAAGGACTATTAATCTTTAAACTGAAGTGTGAATTGGCATATATGTTCATGCTTTCTGAAATGGTTTTTTAAATTGTCGATGCTGTTGTTGCTACATCCAAAGACAAAGGTATCCAACTAATATTGGAATTTTCCAGAACATTAAGTGAAATGCTTCCTTAACATGTGAGCTTTCTTGTCACATGAATCAAAGGAACTTAAATGCCATTAACTGTTGTCATAACCGGTACAGATAGCTAGAGGGAAATAATTTCTTTATTCTTTAAAAACAAAATCAAAAACCTTGTAGTATGACTTCTCAAGATGGAGATGACCTGTTTGTTTCTGGAATGGAACTTTCTAAACTACTGGTGGAAAAAACTCCTCTTTTCCTCCTGCCCCCACCCCCATCCCTGGACACAATGACATCCTGTTCTCTGTGCATAGAGGACTTTGCTTTTGTATAGTTTTTGATACCAAGCAGCCTTTTGTATTGTATCACCAACCTGAAGTGGTACGGTGAAAAAGCAGGTCTACTGAATAATCTTGCTCTTTGTGAGAAAACTGATCTATGTCGATGAGGTTCTTTGGAACAGTCAAGCTTCTTTTCTTGATGAAGCCAATGCATCAGGGTAGAATCCAAGCCAGACCAAGACACCAGGCTGCCTGAAGCAGGCAAAAGCCCACCCACTCCAATTCCAGACAGAAGTTGACAAAAATGGCAGAGGAATTGTGTTTCGATGATGGCTGCCTACACTTCACTTGCTCCTTGGGTCAAGCTGTACACTATAGACAGCACCTGATTAAATGCTGATATCTCTTAACTATTCTAGAACTGTGATTCTGGTAGATTTTCATATCTGAGCAACAATACTTGCAAACACAGCTTCTATTTAGTTGCAAGCTACGGTGTGTATAAAAAACCCCATGGAGTGACAATTAGATGTCTTTTAACAATGTGCTATTTGTAAGGTAATAGTTTGACTCCTACAAGGGCACAAGTCATTCTAGTCTTAAAACGTTCCTTCTTTCAGGGCATTTTGTTGAAATAGAAATGTCCTCCATTAGTCTTAGAAATGTTCCAAACCAGAGACTGGAAAAGTTACTTTTCGGATGATAACCAGTCAATCTCTGCTCAGAAGCAGACATTTTCTGTATAACTAGATATGAAAATGTTTTAAAGACATTTTGTTTCAGGGAAGAATGCATAGGCAGGAAATGTGCAGAAATAAATTGAGAAGTGGTAGGTTTTGCTGGTCTACACAGCCTTGCATGTTTTCACCTGGCATTGTGCCTGACAAAAAGGTGCTTGCTGACTTTATGATGCATACCAAATGAGGTCTTGCAGTTGGAAGCACATATAAGTATATGCCTTGCCATGAAACCTCCGCTTCTTAACATTGCCAAGACTTTGCTCTGGGGCTTCATGCAAAATTAGTTTCTTTTTTAAGAGCAGTTTAGTAACTTATTGCCATCATCAGGAAGTATTACTTTGTTCTAAGGTATGAAAATAGCCGTGGGCAGAAGTCGTTTATTTTAATGTCATTTAATGTCCTTACAACTGGGATTTTAATCTAAACTTTAATCAGAGCTTGGCATTGCTTTCTAACAAAAGCAGTTGTAATGGCTCTGTTTTTCACATTTAATTCTAGAGTTATCATTTGTTAGCCATCAAACTTCAGATTCCACTCTCCACTACCTTTTCCTCGAGGCACAGCAAGAGCTAAACTGCACTTTGCTATCTCATCATTAGGTCCGTATGTCCAACCTCAGAAACACCCAGAAAGCTATGAACCCACTACACACATCTAAAATCCAAAGGTCCAAGCCATTTGCTGAGTTCCCAGATCATGAGATGGAGTTTACATGCTTTGGACTCCATGCACCTATATCCCCCTCACACTTATGTCTGAATGTCAAGGAATGCTGGAGGCAGACAAGCATTCCAGATGGACTGGGAAAGGCACCTTCCTGCTCACCCACTACACAGAGACCACGGAGGGAAAACATCATCCAGTCAGTACTAACATTGTCAATGTCTTCAAAAGATGTCTTAGAGCAGGATTGACATACTGAAGCTCTAAGTTATGTTAAAGTGTTAGAGGACTCACAGCATTTTCCAGAAGAGATTTCTTATTCTAACAACTCTGTGAAGTTTGAAAATTAGATTTCTTATTTTAAAGAAGCTCAGAAGCTCCTCATAATCTGAAACCTTAAATGGCAATTTGCTGAGCCTCTGCATTAATCTGGCGCTTTAATTTGTCTTCTGCAAGATAATCCACTAAGGGAAAATGACAGCTACGTTATCATTAAGCATTATTACTATGGCATCAATGAAATGGCACATTACTGTGTAACATTAGCAAAAGTTGCTTGTAATCAAAATGAGTCCAGAGTCTCAATCCAAATCTAAAGTATTATTTTGGAGAACAGTTTTAGAAAACAATGGGCAAGTTATCTTTTTCATCTTTTCATTGCTGACAGGTCTTGGAGTTATCATAATCCTCCTTGCCACCTTGGTCACTTCCATTACCGGTTTATCAACATCTGCAATATCAACTAATGGTTTTGTCCGTGGAGGTAAAACTCTTTAGAGTGTTTCCCTCTTCAAGTCCCTAATTTGTTTCCCAAGAGTTGCCTGATTCTTAGGCAGCTCAAGGGTTCCTCACGCTAAAATAACAGTACAGCGGACAATATAGCCAAAGAAACTAGAAGGTGGGTTGAAGAATGAAGGGTCCCACCCTTAACTGATTTATCTTCTTAAGAATCACAAAGTCTAGTTCAGTTCGTCAACGCCTGAGACTGAAGGAGAAAAGGAATCTGCTTATTCCTGGAGACCCATTTGTTCTTTCTCTCTTTGATTAATACAAAGTCTATTCAGAACATTACAGGTTGGTTTCGTTGGATGGACTGGCCACAAAGAATGTTATCTATTTGTCCTTAATGAAGTTAATGGGATCTTCTAACTTATTTCTTATTTGTTAGCATTGACACAAAATGTCCCGTGGAGCAAGGGAACCACTACCCGGTGCCTTAAAGGTATTTTCTTTATTTTTGATGGCTAAAGCACATTTCAGGTACTTACAGATTGACACAACTCCATATCCTCTCCACAAACAATGATGGCTTCTAACTACAGGATAGATGGCTTCAGTTAATGGATTTTATTGGAAATGATATGACCAAGGTATTTGGGTCAAACATCTTTTCTGGAATTTTTTTCCCAGGTCTTGGAGTCGTAGTTATTTGCCTGAGTGTGGTAGTAACAACAGTAACAGGTATCTCCATGTCTGCCATATGTACAAATGGAGTTGTAAGAGGAGGTAAGTCAATTTCATGTTTGCACAGAGAGCACAGATAATTCTACAGAAGCAATCACTGTGTGAAACCAATCAAATATGTCCATAAAACTGCAATGAAGTGAGAACTAATCTGAGCTATGGTAAACATTATGGACTAGATGACAGCCATGTCTGAAGTCAGGGTCATCATAATCCAATATTAATAAACTAGTTTAACTTAATTTAAAATGATGTTTTTTTCAAATATGTTTTTTCAGGAAATGTCTTTAAGTGCTGGGTGTTCTTTTTGTTGCCATTTTATGGTTTTAAATGGTTGAAAAATTATATTCATTTAGTGGCTGAAGTCCTGTTCATGAAACTATGCTATGTTAAGTTGGCAACATCATTAACCACTGTGATTTTTTGGAAATAAACATCTGCAATTCCCTTCCCTAAAGGCTATGACACTCCCAGATGATCTGTTTCATCATAGGGAAGTCACTGGAGACTGCAGAATATTGGAGGAAGTCTTCAATTTCTGAAAATCACCACCGTTAGTAAAATCATCACCACAGCAGGAAGTTTTAGAAATGAACACCGGTGCCATCTCGTAACACACACCTACACACACACCTGCATGGCTTCCCATGGTGAAAGAGATCCCATTGGAGCCTCATGACCTTCAGAGGGGGGATTGGAAATTACTATTATTTTTGAGAAATTCCCATGGTGAATCATTCCCATCATCAGTCTCGTGCAGAATAAGTCACAGAATGGGATTTCGGCCAGTGTTTGTCCTAATCTGACCATTTATTTGACTGTTTTTTCATACTATGCCTAACTGTGGTTGTTTAGCTTCATCTTTTTTTTAAAAGTATAATCACCTTGAGTTCTGCAAGGGAGAAAAACAGGAGGGGAGGGGAGCAAAAGAAGATCTTTCATTACATCTATTTGCAGTAATGGTCAAAAACCGGGTTGTATTATGGAGTGGCAGAATATAGATCAAGTATTGTGACAATGTTCCAGTCTCTGGGACACAGGCAGGCTACATGGAGCCCATCAAGGCCATTTCGGTGGGCTCCAGCGCCACGGCCTCCCAGCACCCCTCAAACATGTTTCCCTTCAGGCTCTAACAGTGAACCTCTGCTGTGCCGACAGGTGGCGCATATTACCTCATCTCCAGAAGCTTAGGACCTGAGTTTGGAGGTTCCATTGGTCTCATCTTTGCCTTTGCCAATGCTGTGGCAGTAGCTATGTATGTGGTTGGGTTTGCAGAAACAGTGGTGGAGCTCCTCAAGGTAACTATAACATATTGCACATGATGAAGCCAGGGAACCTTAGTTAATAACTTTTTTGTGTAGAATGATCATATGTCTAATAAATACATTAAGTCACAACCTTATACAGAAATTACAACTCTCTATACGTATCATAAATTCTAATTCCTAAGCTTTCCTTTTGCTAGTACTAGGTTGAGGAAATGTTTCTCACTGTGCCATAAGAGTTTCAAAATTAGAAAATGGAATGAAGGTTCTAATTAACCAACCAATAACCTTGACGACTAAGGTCCAACCAGCATAAGAAATGTGAAACTCAGGGCTCATTACCCATGGAATGTGAAGAATCCCTCTTTAGTAATTTTCTTCTATTTTATGTGTCTGCTAGAGTTATTGTACTGAAACTATATCTTTAATCATTTTTCCTCACTGTTTTTCCTCTACTTTCCAGAGCAGTAATGCAGTAATGGTAGATGCAACCAATGACATCAGGATAATAGGTGCCATAACTGTAGTACTTCTTCTGGGTATTTCTGTGGCTGGTATGGAATGGGAATCCAAGGTAAATAAATAAAAGTTCAGAGGAGATGGGCACAAAAATGGATGCTGTAAAAGCCAATGTGTTTTATTGCATTTAGTTACTCTTAGAGAGTTCACTGTCACTAGATTTCTGCATAGATGTAGATAGATAGGTATATAATGCACACTTTCCCGAATGCATATTATAGTTTTCATCATTTAAATGTGCAAAAAAAAATATCTGCCCAATAAAAGAAATATAGCAAACAATATCCTGGGTAAAACATGCTTTGGGTAAAACAGTTTTGATAAGATGTGTGCACATTTTGTACTCAGTCTGAAAAAAGTAATAGGAGAAGAGAGGTTCCATCTCAACACTAGCAGTGAATTACGATCCCCAGTTGTTTATTACGTATTATATTGGACTAAAGAGCTGCCCAAAGAATTTCTTAAATAGATGTTTTTTTAAAAAGAGCTTCCAGTAAGCAGTAGTTAAGTGTGTCAGACTTGGGCTTAAAGTGGCACCTCGGCGATAGCAAAACAATTTTGATTTCTCCTAGAATCTGAAGAGCTGATCTATCAAAAAGAACACAAAACATCATCCTATGTTGATGAAATACACAAATGAGGATATGAAAAGCTGCCCTTCCAAAGAATCTCCTCATTCTTTCTTATGACATACCCTTTGTTTTAGTGTGCTATTTAATTTACTGCCATAATTTAAGGGCTCTATTGGCAAGATCACTGGTGATATTTCTTCTATTAGGGAGCAGAGGCCAATGGTTGTGATTTTGGGGAATGAGGCCAATGGTTTCACTCTGCACTTTGTAGGAGCTACATCCATGGTTCTCTTTCCCCAGAATATGTTCAGCACCCTGGAAAGCTCCTTATGTTCCAGACTTAAACCTGGAACAGATTCGCTGTAACTGCAAACTCATAGTCAGCTGCATTAAGGAAAACCTGTCTATTGCCTTACTGGAGTAAAGAAGCACTTTCAAAAGGGCAACAGAGTTAAACGTGCGCGCGCACATGCACGCACACACACACACACAAAAATATTGAAAAATGAGTGACCCACCCCACAGATCAATTTATTTCAGTTTTAATATATCAATGGAATGAAATTAGAAAATAGCTAAATATTGAAACCAAGTCCACTACAAAAATAATCTCTTTTCTTTTACAGGCTCAGGTTGTTCTCTTAGTTATCCTGCTTGTTGCTATCGTGAATTTCTTCATTGGGACTGTCATTCCAAGCACCAATGAAAAGAAGGCAAGAGGCTTTTTTAATTATCAAGGCAAGTGAGTTGGTTGATTGATTGGTTTTTGCCCAAGTCCTACCTATCAGCAGATCTATTACAACATATGCTACTGGCACACGATAAGGTGACCTCAGTTACATGAAGTGTGAAGCAGTGCAATTAATCCAGGCTGCCATATTTCCCATCAGTTACAGCGCTGCTACAACTACAAAATGCTGTGCATAAACCTGCAGCTAAGGACCACTCCTTAGCACCCTAAGGACCTTGCCCAATTACGAATCCCAGCATTCCATAGGAGGGGGCATGGCAATCAAAGGGGCAATACCCTGGTCTAATGGTGCAGCGCAGACACATTCCATCACTATGGTTAACATCTCTGGTATTCTCCTGAAACTACACACATATGTTTCCCCCCTTCTCTTTTGTAGCCTCAATATTTGCAGAAAACTTTGGACCAGAATTTAGAGGCGACGAAGGGTTTTTCTCTGTATTTGCCATTTTCTTCCCTGCAGCCACAGGCATTCTTGCTGGGGCCAACATCTCTGGAGACCTTGAGGTATGTGTATGGTTCTTTAACAGACTATTTAATTATGTAGGCTACACATTAAGTTCTTCCCATCTTCTTTTCAAATACAGTAAGTTTTTCTGGACATTTCCCTGAATGCTGAAGGAGAGCTAAGGCTCCAACGTGTTGATTGGGCTGGCCAAGTCCTTCCCACTTGCACTGTCTGATGGAAGAGAGCTAACCATGCAGACTTAGCAGAATATGTCTTCCAGACAGAGACTTTGAAGTTTTAAAAGGCCACTCAGTAACTTCAGCAGCAGAATATTAATGGGGCTATTATCAGAGTACTGCTCATAGAAATGAGCTATGTAATTCTTATTACCATAGCTTTGCTAATTCATAAAAGCTGTACTTGTGGTGGAACTCAAATTTACAGCAAGAGGGGGAGAAGGGATTTTCTTCCCCTCCCCCCAAAAAAGTGGATTAAGTTAGACGTAATGGAAAAAATGGCCTTTTCACTTGGCCTATGTACCTCCCATGGCCATATTTTAAACCAAAGTCACGACAAGGTGATTGGTGTGTCCGCCAGCCACAAAGTATGTTGTCTGTTTGTAGGCCTTTTATAGAAACACAGAATGATATAAAACGTAAGCCTTCCCTTGCTTTTTTTGACCTAGTTTATAATAAATATCTTCCTTCATATTTTTGCCTTTGAGCCTTTGGGGAATGATATTTGCTCATGATTGTATTAAAGGATGAAAGATACAGACTTAGTCACATGCTGACATGACTCTAAAAGCTGCAAACCCAGCATTCATAATTTTTGCAGTCAAGCCAGACAATCAGTACATAGGGAGCCAAATTTCAAGCAAAAGTCTAGAAATCATTTTAATACCAATATACTGATGTATTTTGCTGTTCTGAAAATGCTGTGTCAAATTTTTGTCAATTTTTAGATGACTAAAACATACACTATTTTTACTGGACAGCCTGTTGTAAGAGTTTTCTTTAAAAACAATTCTTTTTTTATTACTCTGCTTAACCTTTACAATTTCCCTTACATCTACTGTGTGGTGAATTGGGACTATTCAGAAAACTCCCTGTAGTGCTTCACAGAAGCATTATGATTTTTAGGTCTTGCTGCCTATCATGAAGATCATGGACAAAACCCTGATGTGCAAAGTTACATGGTCGTAAAGTGGATCGAGCACCAGAAATGCTTCACTTGACAGAACCAAAAGCTTCCTATCCTCCCCATGTCCTGTTCTGGGGCAACACGAGGGCTCCTTTTCACCCTGGGGATGCCTCTGGGAGCCTTGTGGCAGGGGAGTCTTCAATAGTCAAAAGTCATCACTGGATCACCTCCAGATTGCTGGGATCACCAGGGTTTCGCCAACCCATCCTAAGGCTCCCAAAGGCTTTTTCTAGGGCAAAAGAGAGCCATAGGAAATCTCAGAATATGAAGCCATGGGAACAAGAAGCTTCCGATTCATTTAAATTCATTTCCGCCATAGGATGTACGGTAGCATAACTTTACATAATAGGATTTTGCCTAATAAAAACTTTTTAAAAGGATGATTATAGAATAAAATTCTATAAATGAATTAAATTCTGTACTAGACCTATCTATACCAAATATACAAATAAAAGGAGGAAGAAAATGAGCCACCTTATATATATAGCCCACTTGTTTAATGTAAGAATTCACAGCAGTCTTTTTATTTTAATATTCAAGGACCCACAAGGTGCGATTCCCAAAGGAACAATGCTGGCCATTCTGCTCACAACCATTGCTTATCTAGGTGTAGCGATCTGTGCAGGTGAGTAGGAAGCGATGGTTGCATTCCAGTGGGATGTCATCGTTAATGTTGATAAGTGTGCTCTAATCTTTGTGCTCAAACCACCACTTACCCTCCTTATTTCCTCATCATCCGGGTTTGCCACTTAGGCAGCTCAGCTGGTTGGAGTAGCTAGCTGGGGAACCAGAGGCCAAGGGTTTGAATCCCTATGGTGCCTTTTCAGAGAGGGACCAGCCACGATCACCCAGAGAGTGTACAGCTAGTGGTGATGGTGGCTGGGCAATTAAGACATTAATCTTAATTTCAGAGCCAAAATGCCAGGCTCCCAGGCCTTCTAAGGCCTTCTCCCACCTACTGATTCTTCATTTCCATTCTATGCTAGAACCGTTATATAGATTATTAACACACAAGCATACACACAAACACAGACTTTGCTTCCCCAATATCTTCTGAAGGCAACTATTGCCACTTTAGTTTAAAAACATAAATTATGTCATACCAACTTTCTATCATCTTATAGCCCTCTATTATCTTTCTTTAGGCATTTCTTCTGATGCCGTGTATGTCCCTTAAACTTATGTAAGAAATCTTTCAAAAGTCTATTTTTGTCAAACACTGCATCATTTGTACATTTCATAATGTACTCTACTTTGATAAATGTACAGAAGGCTGAGTACAAACTGCAGACCGTTAATAACACCACTTCAATAAACAGTGACATTATTTGCATTGTAAAACCCAAAGAAATGCAAAGGCCCTGCTGCCCCCAAGATAATGCAGAAGCGGAAATGCATGCAGAACATAAGCTCACCAAAATGTACTCAGCCTGGTGAGAATATTATCTAGCTGTCACAAGGAAGAAAAATAATAATATGCTGTTGTTTCCACAGCTGCTTGCGTCGTACGTGATGCTACTGGGAATGTCAATGATACTGTTGTATCTGGAATGAATTGCAATGGATCATCCGCCTGTACCCTAGGCTATGATTTCTCCAGCTGTAAAACCCAGACATGTGATTACGGGCTGATGAATAATTTCCAGGTTCTAAAGAGCTCTAATTATGCAATTTGTATAATCATATGGGTGTTGTATAACTGAGCAAACCAGAGACACAAACTAAGAGATACACAACACATAAGCATGGGGGGAGGGGTTTGGTAGCTGTACCGACACCACAGCTAGGATACCTGAGCCACACTACCCATGGCGCCTTTGCTGTAGTAACTCGTACAACCTACTCCTTATTTACATGGCCCATACTGGAAAATAACAGGGAGCAGAAACTGAGCTTATGCATAGGGAGCAGAGCTAAGCTCTGTATGCTGAAGCACCCAGTTTCAGCATTTGCCATCTCAAGTCCTCTTGCCCAAGGCCTGGCGAGGCTGCTGCCAGTCACCTCTAGACCATATTAAGCTAGGCAAACAAATAGTCTTGTCTGGTATAAGACAGTTTCCTGTGTTCTTAAGCAAGACTATTTACATAGATACTGTACTTCAATAATCATGACCTAATGAAAAACTTGAATTAGCAGTTCATCCACTCTCAGGCCTGGTTTACAGGTGGAGTAGAACAAGGTGGGAGGGAATGAGCTGTTCATAGTCTTCAAATGGTAGAATGGAACATTGTATTTCAAAATACAGAAGTTTAGATTTTTTTTTTCCGAGTGCTCCTCTTTCCACACAAAATCATCTGCAAGTTAAAACTTATCTAGGAGCCAGTATTGCCGTGGATACAGTGATGGACTAGATTTTAGGAGACCTGGATTCTAATCCCCATGGAAACTCACTGATCTGTGGTATGGGTAAAATCAATCCTGAAGTATCTCACATAGCATGAAACACCTATTACGGTTGCCATGAGTTGGATGCAGTTTGAGAGCTCATAACAAAATATACAAAATGATCAGAAACTGAGTGTGTTGGGTAAGCTTTAGTCTTGATCAGTTCATTTTGACTCGCAGGGAGTTGTGGGTGGGGAAGAAATACTACCACCTCTTAAGCTCTTCCTGAAGTAGTATGGTATGCCCTGCCTTATTTGGCTGTACATATAAATCAGGCCTCAATGTACAGTTGTAAAGTGGTTTCCAATGGAATATTATGTGGGTATTCAGGCATAAAGGCTGCGGCATCTAGCGGGCCCTAGCCAATGAGTTTAGGCCTGCAGCAACTTCCTAGTGCAACTTGATTACACAAAGGGAAGCTGTAGGACTTAATCCTGTACACAAGACTGCGCAGATAAAATTGTGCAAAAGTTTTACAGCAGAAGGCTCTTCTGAGGATCCATTGGATTTGGATAAGCAGCAGTTTGAGTGCATATTACACAGAGTCCCATGCAGACTAGAACTTCTCCAGTCCTTTCAGTGAAGGGGGCACTGGTGCCATACCAAAGGGTGCTCATGCAGAGCTGTCTCACAGGAAGGGAACATAAGAAGAATCAGCTGCTGTAGTTCCTTTTCTACACCTAAATGTTTGTGCCACTTTGGATCAGAGCAACAGTACATACATGTGCACAGCTAGATTAAATGCTAAATCACAGAGAATGCCAAAGCAAACAATAATGGATTTCAATTTTAGAGTATCAACATGGCAACATATATCTGATCTGATTTAGGCCCTGTACAGATCTCTGCTTCAGATACCCCTAACCGGTTACCAATGGAGACTTTCCTTTGAGACATAGAGTAAACTACTGTTTGATATATGAAGGCTGGGTATGAAGTTATTGCACATGAAAACTATTATTTGGAAGCAATGAAGATCATGAACTTCCAAAAAATGTAATTAACTTCCTTATGGTGAAATCATTGTTTTAATATGATCCTACTCTGAATGAGGCTATTTGCAAAAGAAATAAAGAAAATGCCTTTGGCTTTAGCGAGAACAGAACAGAACTCAATTACAGAGCACTCTTCCCTATTAGCAAGCAAATTGTTTTCTTGACAGCAGAAGTGATTTGCCCACAGTGAGTACAGACTCATCCTGAAGTTTCTTATGAGTGATTTGAAAGATAATAGAAAAGAGGCAAGAAATAGCAGTGCATATTATCATCATATACATGAGGATGCATGACCTCTGTTTGTATATGTTTACCTGAGTTTTGTGGCAGTCTTGTGTTTGTGTTTTTCTCCAAAAGGTTATGAGCATGGTTTCCGGATTTGGTCCCTTAATCACTGCTGGAATATTTTCTGCAACACTTTCCTCAGCACTAGCTTCACTTGTCAGTGCACCCAAGGTTTTCCAGGTACAATTAAAGAAATCACGGGACTTGCATGTTGATAGGTACCTATGCAATCTGTTTGATCACAGATATAACCATCTGCTAGTAATTTATGTCTGAGAGACACAGTATCTTATACAGCCACCCTTAGATCTTGGAGAGCCACACTTACTCTTGGGTCCCCTGAAATAATAATAATCATGCATTGCAAAGATTATTCAGACTTACAACGATTCTTCTCAGAGTTTCCAAGATATAAATAATCAGAAGTAATTTACCAGTCTCTTCTTCTGGGGATGCTCTGGGACTGTGCAGCTTGCCCAAGGCCATGCAGGCTGGCTTTTATCTAGCAAGACACAGTAAGGAATCAAACTCCTGACCACTATGATCCAGCTCAGGGAGCTATCCAGCAATTTTTTTTTTTTAACAGAGAGCCCCCTTGCAACCTCCACTTCCTTCAGGGAGCATGTCCTCCTGGATGATGCAAGTGGGGACCAATCATTACAGGATAACAGCAGTGTGGTTTGTACACAGCTACATTCTACTTCTTCCGTCCTGTAATGTCTGAAACAGGGAAGGCATGTGGGAATTACCGGTACTGTATCAGAGCATATTCCCCACACTTGGACTCTGTGTTTCAAATGCTTTCAGATCTTCTTTTACCTTAGAGAGTGAAAATAATGTATTTCTGAACCAAATTCTTCTCTTTTTTGACAGGCCCTCTGCAAGGACAACATCTACAAAGCACTCCACTTTTTTGCCAAAGGATATGGGAAAAACAATGAACCAATTAGAGGATACATCCTTACTTTCTTCATTGCCATGGCCTTTATCTTGATCGGTGTGTATATCACAACTAACATCTATCATCAGTAGCTTATTCTGTTCAGTTGATCAACCCTCACACCTACTTTTAAAGCATACCCTGTACTTCAGAAAGGCTGCTTTTGTAGAAGTTAAGGTAAACTTTTAAAAAACACCACTAAATGGCTAAGGTAGTGCAAATATAAAAAAGGAATACATTTTTGTTGCCTCTGATTATTAATAAGCATGCAAAAAGAAAAACTAGTCCAACTGGGTTGCAAGTAGAGTCACTGCCAGAAATGGCAATTCTGAAAGGGAATGTGGAGAATTTTAGTTGCCATTAGCACCATATTGCCAAGGAAGGGAAGTAAGAATTTATCGACTGTCACCGGTTGGTGGAAATGAGGAAAGAAGGTGCCACAGCGGTATTGTTCAAACGCAAGGCTCTAGGTCCCTGTGCTGGTAAAGTATCCTCCCTGACTTATGTCACTAGGCATCTCTGTACTGGCAGTAGTTTGGGTGTCACATGGACCACAAATATAGACATCATTGCTTCTCTGTATCAGCAGCCACTGGAAGACCAGTGCTGTTGGCCACCATCAGGTCACGTCTGGACAGCAATGCGTTCCACAGGATCAAGCACTTTTGCCAAGATTGCCATTATCCTAACAAGAAGAGCAATCAAGTTGTGAGCAGAATAGAATGGAAATGGAATGAGACCCCAAAAACTTTTTTGGTCTTCTAAAGATTTTGTCTGATGTCAGGATCTGCAGCTACATATGTCTTGCTCTGCATCTTATAAAATCAAGCAATCACCCTCCAAGACGCTTTTCCTACCGTCTTTCAAAGTATTGTAGCCTCAAGTCGAAATTTTTTAAAAAATAAACAATGTCTACATAAACCAAAGGCCTGCTCTTCCAAACCATTGCTGATCCCTGGGAGATTTCCATGACAGTAGCAAGCATTTGATCATAGATGATTTCTGTTTCTGTTGTTTAACTTTATATCTGGTTTTCTACACAATGTAGTCATTATACAAAGAAAGGTTTGTTCTGTACCATATCTACCGTCTTCTAAGGAATTCTAGGGAAAGTCTTTATTAAGCTTTCTACATTTAAGAAATGTATTGCAGTTAGTATTAGCTTCTCAAAAACTGTCTGCCAAGATTCAGAGTTAAATAATGATGGTCAGAGTCATATTGGTAATTTACCTCAGCATACTGTACCATGTACATACAGCGTGCAATACCTCAGTATTTTTTGGCATCCGTGGGTGGAAGCTTGGAACTGATCCCCCATGGATACCGCAATCCTACTATATTTATATCACTGGAATCCTCCCAAAGATATAGAAGTAGACAGTGAGATTATCTTCCTTCATTTCTTATCTTAGATGTTTTCTAAAGACTGTTGAGGAATTTCCAACAACAGCACATTATAACGATAGCCCATCTCTCTCACACTCTGTTCAGAATTTCCCTCTTTTTCTTTTGTTGCTGTCTGGTAGAAAGGAGGATCTACAGCCAGACAGGTTCCTAAACATCCCTTTCCTTTGCAGAAAGGGTTCAGCAGCACAAGGTTTATCTATATGGATTCATCCATCATCTGATTGAGCTGTTAATGGAACTTAATGAGGAAAAATCCCCAAAGTACTTCTGGTGTTCCTTGGCAATCAAAACACAGTAATAATAAGCTAAATAACTAACAATGTGTTGCTACTTCAGGACACAGAAGTTCAGCTGAGGCAGGCCACTTTGCTCTGTTTAATTGTCAGACCAGTTCTAAGTTTATTCTCTTCAGATGTCTATGCACCTAACACGTTTTCATAATTATTTCTTACAGCTGAGCTGAACACCATTGCTCCGATCATCTCCAACTTCTTCTTGGCTTCCTATGCACTTATCAATTTCTCCTGCTTCCATGCTTCATACGCAAAATCTCCAGGTTAGTTTTTCATTTTCTATTTCCAGTTACATCTATTAATTATATACTGGCTCATTTTTCAAGGTATTTGTGCTGTCAGAATGTTGCGGGGTTAAGACTTTTAAGACTAACATTAGAGTTTTGTGTTTATGTCTGTAGTATATAACTGCAAACAATCTGCAAGATAATTTGTGGAGGCGCTTAGAATAAGCAAGTAACCTGAGATGCAAAATAAAGACTGAGAAGGCAGTTAAGCTGGACTATGATGAGCTGCTGGGGTATCCAAAATCAGAATGCCCAACCTTCTGGAAGAGAGAAGGAAGAGTAAAAGAACCAACCCATTAAATGCACAAAAAGGAGAGGAAAGAGTCTTCTCTGCAGGTGGCAAATAACATCAAACACACAGCAGTTCTAAATTTTAAGATTCAATATGTTTCTTCTTTTGTCCACCAGTTGATTCCCTAAGCCAACCCTCCACTAATGACAGCGTGATCATATCATGGCTGATCTGCTCTTTCATTAGATAAAGGTATATGAAATGTGTATAATCACAACCTCAGTATTAGTAACTACTTGAAATATCACAAGAAACATACAATAACAATAACTCAACAAACAAAAACTACCTCTAACTACTAGCAAGGAAAACAACAGTTTCAGGTTTTTTTTCTCTCTCTCCCTGTTACAGAAAAGCACCTGAAGTAGAAATAGCCATAGAAAAATATTTGTGCCTTTCACCCACAGCCTCTGCTGGTCCATCAACTACAGCCACTTTTAAAAGCTTATTGCCCCATTTATTTACTCAAATGGTAATAGCAAATTCTTTTTACTTCAAATCACATCACCCCACAAAGAGATGTTTATTTCAACTGCAGAGAAACAGCCCTCTTATTTCCAGCATGGAAGAAACCACAGTGGTGACATAAGTATATGTATTAACACTGTTCCTATTCGTTTTCATGCTGCTGCCTGATCAGAGGGCACATTTTAAAAGACTTTTCCTCTAATTATCTGCAGAGCTGAACAACATCAGATCAACAGCAGGGACCTCAGTACCAATTACTGTATACATTGCATATTCACATGGGCTAGGATACTGTGGTAACTTAAAGGCTGCATGTGACGAACACGGGTTCGAAAACACACGTGTACGCTTGGACAGAGAGCAATCAGGAGCTTGCACATGCTAAAATGGGCTGAAGAGTCCAATTCAACCAGCTATGCTACAATACTCCTTCTCACAATACAAAGAAACAAAATGGAACCTCTCTGGCTCACTTCATAATTACAAAACCCATATGCCTTTAAAAGATTTTAACTTAAAAACCCATCTCATCACACTGCATTCATTCAATCAAATAATAATAATAAAAATACCCAATCCTCCTTTATTGTGCTTTCTATTCAGCAAATTGTGGCTGACCACATCAGTGCCTCCTTAACAGCCTGGATAACAAGACAGGAAAAATTCTGACCAACAGCACCTGCCATTCCATTGATATTAGGGTAATCCATGTTGACTTTGCTGAGTCCTGCCTGATAGCTTAGAGATATGACTTTTCTATTCTACCTGGGAATAAGTCCTGTGGAGTAAATTTGCAACTTGCTTCCAAGGAAGAATGCACATAATTCTTCTGTTATTGTTTCTTCTGCAACAAGTAAGCAATTCTGAAGAGGACCAGGAGCAAATAAACCACTACTGTTTACAGTTTGTCCCAGCTCCATGACCACAACCATCATCCCACCAGTTAATTCTAGCAGGGGCAAGTGTTAATATAGCACAGAAGAAGGAATAGTACAAACCATGATTTACTAGAAACATTTCTCCAGCTTTCACTCCACCAATGCAGCTACCCAGAAGATTCTGCTTGTGTTCAAAAAGTTACTGTGTTCTACTTGAGTTCTTGATCTCCAAGGGGGTGGGGAAGCAGAATGTATGCTGGATTTGAGGAAACCCAGTTTTAATAAACTCAGAACAATGAAAAGTATAGCCCATGGCAGGAGATCCTAACAGGAAAAGTCCAAGATAGGTGGGAGTTTCTTAAAAAGAAAGTTCTAAAGGCAAAACTACAAACAATTCCAAAAAAAAAAAAAAGTGGAAGACGGGGGTGGGGAGGAAAGACCAATCTGGCTTCACTAAAAGCTCAAAAGAGGACCTGAAAAGTAAGGAAAAGTAAGGAAAGCCATGTCACAAAGAAAGAGTACAGACGAGTTGCAAAGAATTGAAGAGATGGCTTTAGGAAGAAAAAAGCTGAGAATGAGATAGTTAGCAAGAGATGCTAAAAGCAATAAAAAGCATTCATCAGGTATGTGCATAGCAAAGGTAAAAAACAAATCCTGTCAGACTAATCGTCTCTATTTTTGTTGATTGGGTAACATCCCTGGTAGATGGTGGGAATGCTGTAGATGTAATATATTTTTACTACAGCAAAGCTTTTGACAAAGTGCCCCATAATATTCTAATTAGCAAGCTAACTAGGTGTGAGTTGGATAGAACAACTGTCAGGTGGGTACACAGTTGGTCACAGCATTATAATGAGACAGTGGTTATCAACAGATTCTTCTCAAGCTTGTTGTTGCTTGTAGTTTAGTTGTTTAGTCATGTCTGACTCTTTGTGACCCCATGGACCAGAGCACACCAGGCCCTCCTGTCTTCCACTGCCTCCCAGAGTTGGGTCAAATACTCAAGCTGGGAGGAAGCAATAAATGGTGTATCACAAGACTCAGTTCTTGGCCCAGTGCTCTTCAATATTTTTATTAATGGCTTAGGATGAAGGGGTGCAAGACATGTTTAGCCTTGAGAAAAAAAAACTGGGGGAAGGATAGCACTTTTCAAATACTTGAAAGACTGTCATACAGAAGAGGGGGCAGGATCTGTTCTCAATTATCCCAGAGTGTAAAGTAAAGGTAAAGGTTCCCCTTGATAATTTGTCCAGTCGTGTCTGACTCTAGGGGGATGTGCTCATCTGCATTTTCAACCCATAGAGCTAGAGTTTTGTCCAAAGACAATCTTCCGTGGTCATGTGGCCAGCACAACTAGACATGGAACACCGTTACCTTCCCACCGTGGTGATAACCTATTTTTCTACACGTATTTTGAATGTTTTCGAACTGCTAGGTTGGCGGGAGCTGGGACAAGCGATGGGGGCTCACTCCGTTGCGTTGATTCGGTCTTACAACTGCAGGTCTTCTGACCTTGCAGTACAGAGGCTTCTGAGGTTTAACCTGCAGCGCCACCACGTCCCAGAGTGTAGGGCATATAATAATGGGCTCAAGTTCCAGGAAGCAAGATTTCAGTTGAATATCAGGAAAAGACTTCTTAACCATTAGAAGCACTACGATAATGGAACAAGTTACCTTAGGAGGCACTGACCACTCCAATGCTGCAGGCATTCAAGAGAAAAACAGACAACCATCTGTCAGATATACTTTGATTTGGATTCCTGAACTAAGGAGGGGGTTGGATTAAAGCCTTCCAACTCCATGATTCTAAGCTTCATGTGGGTAGATTGCACTAAACATGGGGAGGGTGGAGATGCTATGGCTGTGATAAAGTGATGAGTAGAAATGTGGTCTTTTCTTTCTTTTAAAATTTACTTACAAAATTGACTTTTGTAGGTTGGAGACCTGCCTTCCAATACTACAACATGTGGGTGTCCCTTTTTGGAGCTGTGCTGTGCTGTGCAGTCATGTTTGTCATCAACTGGTGGGCAGCTGTCATCACTTATGCTATTGAGCTCTTTCTGTACATTTATGTGACATACAAGAAGCCAGGTAAGGCTGGGTGCCAAACATGCTGACCCCAATGGAAAAAGAAAACACAGGGGAAAGGCTGTGAATATCCTGCAACTTCTTGTGGGAGAGGGAGATTCCCCATTTACGATATCTAAGTCCATTCTGTGCATTTAAATTTCTGAGGCTAGAATCATTATACTTAGAAAGGCATCCCTTTGATTTGTACATTGCCATATATAGAAAGCATACATTAGTTTTGAATTTTGTCTTATTTATATCTTCTCTATCCTTGTAAAGAGTTCAGAGCATAACTCTGAAATCACAACTATAGAAGAAAAGACAATAGAAATATTTCAGTGAAAGCAAAGAACCTCTCATAAGTAAAGTACTCCACTATTAGAAGTGTCTTTAAATTCAATATGCTAACAGTGCAAATCTGTATATGTCTACTCAAAAATGTTTCACAGCATTCAGTGGTGCCTACTCTTCAATAAGTGGATACAGAATCACAATCACAATCTGTTTAACATTCCACATACAGTATAAATGTCAAATTATTCCCATGGCTTTAGTAGATCAATACAATGTCTTAAAACAATGTAGAAATTTAAAATGATACAATATGCAATTTCTTTTCTCTACAACGACAGAGGTAAATTGGGGATCATCGTCACAGGCACTGTACTATGTCAGTGCTGTTGACACTGCACTAGAATTAACAACAGTGGATGACCATGTCAAAAACTTCAGGTAAAGTCTCCATGGATGTGGTTCAAAGCTTGCTGTGCATGAATATATTGCCAAATGTAATGCTCCCCTGTCCACATTCACAGGCCTCAATGCATAGTATTAACAGGCGGACCCATGACAAGACCAGCTTTGTTGGACATCACACATTCATTCGCAAAGAACAATGGGCTATGCATATGTTGTGAAGTATATACAGTAAGTAAGCTCCGTGAACCTGTGCAAAACTGTGCTACACTCAGAATGGCTGCTCTCCTGCTAAGGCAACTTGTAATGTCTGCCTCTCCATGTGGAAATCTGTAACGTGGACACTGACTCACTATGTGCTTTGCCTCAACACTGCCACAAAAAATCCTATTTTAGGTAGTTTGCATCATCATGCAAAACACCAGTGGTCCCAGATTAAGCAGGATGCGAAACAGAGCTGCTAGGATGCACACCAAATGGGCCTACCTTGATGCAATGTGAAGTACTCTTCATATAGTTTTATTTTATTTACCTTTTTATTTACTTTTTTCCTCTCACCTTGGTGAACAAAATGGCTAACAAGCACACTGCTTCACAAACATTAACAATGAGGCACAAGCAAATCAAATACAATTTAGAACAAGAAAACAACAGACCAAACTGCTTGGTCTCAGTGGAGCCTTGGAAGTTCTCAGGAATAGTTCAAAAGAAGCAGCCGTTGATTTCTCTTTGGGCAGCTGACCTACACAGCTGGAGCCAAAAACATGTTTTACTGCTTATTCCAATGGGGGCATTATCAGGGTCTAGAAGAGCTTCAAGTCAGCAAGCTTTTTGACTTGTTATCAATTTTCATGCAATGTCAGTAGATTTTTATTTCCACTAATATTTAATGTAATCCTTCTGTTCTAGTGTAAGCATTTTAGTTGTTTTCCTCCTCCTCTAGCCATTTCAGCCAAGTTTAGTTTTATTGGCTAATAAAAATGTGACACAATGAACTCCTGTGATCTGTGTACTGGCAAAATAAGAGTAATAAAATATGAATACCTGTCAACAGGGCACCTACTGTGCTTCTAAAGACTCCTTACATATAGTCACTTAGCTTTCTTTTTATTTTGTATCCTATCCCTTGAAAACACTGCACTCAAAATATATGGAGCAAACCTCTAAAATAGGCAGATATCCAAACCTTTAAAATAGGCAGATATCCAAGCTATTTTCTAACATGCACACCTTATTCTGAGTCAAGATTTAAAGACTGGATTTAGCACACAAGGGTCATGACCCATATTTAAGATGTACCACAAGACGGTCTGGTAGCCTTCCATTTATTTCTCTTGAAGCCTGAAAAATCTGAGCAGTGTTGGTCTGAACCTAGTGCTATGTATGGACTCTGATACACATGTCCCATTATTTTCTATGGATCATGTCCCTATGAAGATTTCAGCTTTGGTCACAGCAAGCTGATTTACCACCCAGAAAGCTTTTGCATATATATCTATTAGTCTTTAAGATACCATCACTTTTTTTATTTGTACTTTTGGTTTGTTTCTATCTGCTACATATGTTGACACAGACTTATCATGGCTACCACTCTGAAAAAAGTTACAAGTAGCAAGACCTCAACAGCAGAACACGCACAATTATAATGCTCCTCTGATGTTTCATGCCTTATTTTCTTGATTTAATGGCCACGGTGGCAGAGATACTTTGCAAGCTAAAGTCCAAAAATGTATTTTTCACCCATCTCTGGTTTTTTTAAAAAAACACAAAAAACTAGTTTTGTAGATTTGTAAACTATCTGCCCTGTATGAAAAGGGAACTTTGCCAGCTGCAGAGGCATTTCCAAGAGAGAACAATATGCCAAAAAATGCCAGCTTAAGGATTCTTTACTACATAAATACTTTGAGCACCCCATTAATTTCAGTAGGTCTACTCTAAGTATCACCGGATGAAATCTTGTGTTAAAATGGTACAGTATTTGAATTGGCTCTACGTCACCCCAAATCCTATTGTTTCCATCTAAAAGGATTATAGATTGGTCTGCTTTGTTCAGCCCATGCTACTTTCCTCCTGGTTATTTAAGAACTGCAGGGGCTGCTTTGAAAAATATATTGTCAAGTTATTTTCCACGAGCTACTTCTATGCCCAAGTGGTGTTAACAGGCTTACTCTTCTTGAGCAGGCATCGAGTGATGCTACCAGCAGTTTTAATTTCAAAAGGTTGAAATCTCTGCAGAACCTTTTGTGAAATGTATTTTTTGTTCTTTGACATTTTTTCCAGTCCCTCACATAGATTGAGTAACTCCTTCAAAATCACACTATTGTGTGATGTATAATCCAAAGCTTTCACCCTAATATATGATTGTGTCGTGCAGGGCCCACGCAAGTTGTGTGTGACAGAGATGAACACTGGCATGGCAACGAAGCAAGCTTGGCTGACAAAGAACAAGCGGAAAGCCTTTTATGCAGCAGTGGCAGCCGACAGCTTTAGAGATGGAGTCAAAAGTCTCCTCCAAGTAAGCTCTTTATTTGCACAGCACTTGCAAGAAGTATGACTTCAAAAACAGACTCTCTTGTTTGAGGACTTTTTAATGGTAAAGGTAATACCTTGTTTATTTTTCCAGAACACTTGTTGTTGATGAAGGTAGTATCTTTTAAATACAAAACACACCCTGGGGCCATTTCTTTTCTCTTTCTCTCTTTTTTATGTGTTGTAAGACAAACAATTATGCTTCCAGGATATGAAAATATGAAGGAAGCTTCTCAATTCCATATTTACTAAATATGGCTCAGGAGTCAATCAAGATGTCTTAAGAGCTTAACAAAAGCGTCTCAGATGACACATGGTCACTCCAAATAACTTCTATTTTCTGCTCATACCTCTCTGGAGAGGGCATGGAGAATTTCTCAGAGGGGGAGGTATAAGACAATTTAAATAAAATCATCAGCTTCAACACCTTTTTTATAAAACTACATAACATTTAATCAATTCAATGTGATTTTAGCTCTCTGTGTGTATTATTTCAAATTCTGAATTCAATTTATTTCTTTATATACGTATAAAAGAGTTTTGAATTGAGGCATTCTCAAAAATCAAAATGGGGATAAGACCACCAAAGCTTTAAAGGAACATAAAATTTCACCTGTACAAAACTGTTGTTAAACTGGAAGTCTCATATTAAGAAGGAAAAACTTAGGTAGCAGCATAAATTTTTTACAGATCTTAAGTTTAAAAACTATTTTAATTAGCATGCATCAGAAGAAATGCGAATTATTGTTGATTTGTAAAGCAACATTTTTGTCATCTGAAAGCCGTTTATAGCTGAGATGATTTAGTATTAATTTTTCTATGTGCTGGTTGGGTACAAGCATGAAGGACAGTTACCAATGCAGTTTAATCTTTAATGCCTCTAGGACATAACTTCCTTTATCTTTTAAAAATTACTTCTGAGTCTAAAGACATGGATTGTAAACCATGAAAGTTATCAACACTGAAATAAACCTGTTAGTCATAAAGGTTACACAATTTATTTAGGTTTTCTCATTGTTTGTTTTCAGTTGGGTGTTTGTTTTTCTTGTTCTGTTTTTTTATACATGTTGAAAATGACTAACAGGCCACCTTTCTGAAATTTTCTTTTATTTTGGATGAACCTTGAAAACACATCTTTATAACACTACGTTTTAATATTGCTAGGCTTCTGGTCTGGGCAGAATGAAGCCTAATACTTTAGTGCTTGGATTTAAAAAGGATTGGAGATGTGCTAGTGCCGCACAAGTTGAAAACTACATGGGTGTATTACAGTAAGTTGAAGCTGGAAGCATGCTGTTTTTTTTTCCTATACTGTAACTCAAAGTCTTTGCCATCTTTAGGGTTTTCTCATAAATAAACGAAGGGTATAAAGGTGAGTGACCTTTGGAATTCAGGTTTCCATCACTATGTAAATCTCAGTGAAAAAGGAAGTTTCTTCTTTTCATGCATGCTGCTGTGCAAAGCAGAACTAAAACAGAAAGCTTTATAAGAAGACAAGGCAATTGGACCTATAGCCAAAGCATTTTAATATCTGCCTTAGAAATCTGAACTAGTATCAAAACTTTTCAATTGTTATGACTCTCAGACAAGGAACTATGGGAACTGAAACTTTAAAATATCCAATAGAGAATTAAAATTCCTGGAACCCTTTAAAATAATCCATGACCATTAAGCTAAAGTCAAACTAATTTCAGTTTGTACTCTGAATATGATTTAGACTATAAAGTTCTTTCATATACTCAAGAACTGACATATTCATGAACTATACATGAGGCTTTGAAAAATTCAGGATAAGCAATAACTGAATGGGAGAGTTATCACGAGCAAAATCTAATCTGTACTTCTTTTATGGTTATAAACTATCTGTCAGGGGCAGTTTTCAAGACTCTTTGGTTTGTTATCTTTTGTTTTTTAAACCAAAGGATACTAGAGAGACTGAGTGGGATGGGAGAAGGAAGAGGAAGGCTGATTAACTCTTTCCCATTTTTGCTGGTTTTTGGGAGAGGGATGTATAAGAACCTGGTACTTTTATACCCCTGTATGAAAAAGCCACTTGGAAAAGGTGATACAAACCCAAGTCAGACTGCTCTGTCTCCCTCACTCTCAACACACAAACACGGAGGACAAATGCGAGGAAATAATTCTTAGGCTTAGTTTCAATCTGTCTTGTAGAGAATTAAACACAGCCCAAAAGGAGATCCTGGCAGCCATGTTGCAGAAGGCTATGGGAGCATGTTGGGAGACTAAACAATAGTGAACAAGCTGGTGAAGGAAGACAGAACAGTCCAAATGCAGATGATGGCCTTAAAAGCAGCATCTGATCAAAGGGAGTAACTAAAAAAGACCTCATTTTAGAAATGTAATTTATGAAAAATGAAAGTAAACATCACAGACTAACTTACAGATAACTGTCAGTACTCTAATGTTGTATGAACAAATTGTTATTTCTTTTAAATTATACTCTGTTTCAGTGATGCATTCGATTTTGAATTTGGTGTGATAATTGTTCGAATTAGCCAAGGGTTTGACATATCACAAGTCCTCCAGGTTCAAGGTACGTCAAAATTTAACCAAACTTAATATACAAGAGACATGCTTTCTGTAAAACAAAAATTTTAAAAACTTGCATAATCATTCCACTGGTTTTCAAAAACACCAGTCTTTGAAATTCTCACTCAGTAGCTTTTAAGATGCTGACGTTAAGCTTCTTAGCTATATTTCCTGGATAGGAGTTTTACAATCTATGTAGAAAGTTGAAATGTTATTATAATGACAAAAGAAATTAGGGGATACTTCCAATCGGAAATGGGGGTAGGGGCATTACCAACATCTAAAACTGTTAAGAATGATGTGCTGTCCCGTTAGATGATCAGAGCAAGAGTTTCAAGGCAATACCCCAATACTAACAATTCCAGACAGGAATCACAATTTCAGGGATTTTCTATACATAGAAGATTTCCCCAATGAGAACACAACAAAACATGTCAAGAGGAATTTTTCCTATAAAAACTAACACCTTTTGCCCATTCTGTTATGACAAAACCCAATGGTGGAATGGTGCGTGCAAACTTGTATCAGTGTGAGGTGAACATGGGCCCATTTGAGAGCTGAAGTACAGAGCCTTGTAGGGACTGTGAATCTGGAGGAAAAATACTGTACTGGGAAGAAATGCAGACAATGTGTAGGTAGACTCTTAAAAGGCCATGCGAGGAGGCTATGTTCAATCTATTGGAGAACAAAGATGAGCAAATAAAGGCCTTCAGGACCTTGGACAGGTTACTCTTGTTCCTATGGTGTCTCAGCTCCAATTGACCTCTTCTCTTACTGTTGGCTCTCACTATTCCTCCAAGGTTTCCCTCTTTCCAACCCTTAAAGGAGAAGACCTTAAGCCCTCCGTTAAGATAATAAGAGATTTGGTCCTTTGGGGGCCTCCAACCTAAACAGAAGTCTCCAGTGGCTCCTGGATATCAGATTCAGGATTGGCCCCTCCAGAACCAGCCTCTATATATGTGACACACACAATTTGGATTCTGTGTGTGTTGTGTGAATAAAGGATAAGGAAGGAAATAAGTTCATTTTTAAAATAATACTGTTGTAAGCCATGAAGCCCTAATTCCATTGAACTCATCATTCATTCCAGAGGGCTTCCAACAGAAGAAGGATTCCAAATAAAGTTAATATTAAAGAGGCCATGGCTTTACACTGAAAGTGTATAGGCACTTTTCAGTGTGCTTAAAATTAATATTTGGTTATAATTAAAATGCAGAATTACAACTCTCTGCTGCCCCCTACTGCCTATTCTTATTTCCATTCACAGTTAATCTTCAAGCTGCCCATATAAAGCACACAAGCATGCATCTAATGCAACAAACTGTAAACAATAAGTGAATGGCCGTGTTAATTATTTCCAAGGAGCATTCCAGTGCCCACAGACATAATACACAGTATTTCTAATCTCTTTGCAATGGTATAATATATAGACATGAAGGGACTCGAAGGCTGTTCTTAACCAAACAGTCCAGTGATTTGTATAGCTGGGGTGCACCTGTATAAGACTAGGAATATAACCAAATCAAAGAAAACTAAGACCAATCAATCAATCAAAAACCTTTACTGGTATTAAAACCAGTAACTATACAATCAAGATTATACTTTCCACGGCAATAAGATATATATGGTCAAGTTACGTCAAGGCTCCTTGAAACAGTCAGCCTAGTTTATTGCAATAGCAAGATATTCAGCTACACGCTCAGTCAAATCAGGTTGTTTATCTGCTAACATCATTCAGATTAAGCTCTCAGGAGAGCCAGAGAAATTTGAAATAACAGAACTAAAAGGAAGATAGGTAAATCGCTACTCGGCCTTTTGGCTAAGATCAAGTGTCGTTTCTGTTCTTATCAGTTTAACTAAGACAACATTCTAGCCTGATGTGGATCACATTCCCTATCTGTACCTCCAAAAGAATTACATGCCATTTCCACTGTTTGAAAATAGTCTGATGTCTCTGAGAAGATGTATCTCATTAGATTATGGTTTAACAGAGGCAGCGGGCAGCAGAACTGCACCATTACAGTAAAATATTCCAAATGATAAGAGACAAATAGAAATAGCCTAAAAGGAATTAGAAATTACACGGAATAATTTCAAGAGCTCTCCCTATTTCCAATAGATCCAAAAATTATGTTTATGAACCTGGTAGAAACAAGAAGAGAAAATATTTGGTCTGCTTACATACCACTACAGCACTGTTATTCATTCTGTTGATTAATCATTCCTGTTAATAACTTTTAAGATTTGCAGTTTTAAGGGGCTAGTACCCTTCCCGGCATTACCTTATTTATATAAGGAGTTGGCAAAATCTCTTTCCACAAGAGCATGTTTCCAAAATGCAGTGAGACATAGTTTGGAAGATAAATAATTAAGGATTCATATACTTAAGAATATTTAGAGATGGAATGTCAACAAAATAAACCCTGAACAAGTTTTGTTTCCTATTCTTATAAATGAATAGTAAACAATATTTTTAAAGGCTCAAATTTACTTTAAGCTCAGACAGATATTAATGCCATAAAAGTAATCAGAGCTTATCAATATTTACATTACAACTTAACTCATAATTGTCCCAACGGTGTGTTCTGGTTACAGAGGAACTGAAGAAGCTGGAGGAGGAGAGGCAAGCCCTAGAAGCTACCATTAAAGACAATGAATTTGAAGAAAGACATGCAGGCATCCGCGGATTCTTTAGAAAAGCCACCAAGCTCAACTTTACAAGGACTATGCCCAAAAAAGGCAAGATCTGAAACTGACAATAAAATGAACGTAATTAGTTTCCTTAAAGATTCTCATGGAAAAGCGAACAGCCCCTTGTCTTAAAACATTATCTGTCCTAATTATATTCAGATCCACTCTGTTTGTAAGAAAGGAAGGAACTGATATTTATTTGATACTGAGTGCCATTAATATGGCCAATTGCATACTGTCTTAACAGAAGAAAGAATTGCCTAAAGTTTGTATATTTCAATATATGTACAGATGCAAATTGGAAGTATTTACTAAAATGTAATTGGGAAAGATTTACACATTTGAAGAGAAACCAGAGCATAACGGGTACAAAATGTACACCATACCAGAGCTTTTGTGATGATATGGCCTGTGTGTCAACTTGGTCTGCTGTCCAGGTGCCAACTATTAATGGCCAACTCCAAGGCCTCTGATCTCCACGAAGCTTTGTCCCCCCCCCCCCCGGACTAGATAGCTCTTCAAATGGAAAGATGCCTCCAAAGAGAGTCATGTCCTCTGTAAAGCCAACAAGATGACTAGGCAGAGAAAGGGATAGGAGAAATGTGCTGATGCTTCCATTACTCCTCCTCCCACCACTCATAAGAGCTTCCCAACCTGTCTAGTTCAGGCAAAGTAGCTCTCTGATTCTTACAGGCCATTTTTCAACATAACAGCAACCAGTCCAGGAGGCAACCAAAACAAAAAACAAAAAAACAAAAAAGTCAAAAAAAACGCAACCAAAACAAAAAACAAAAAAACAAAAGAGACAAAAAAAACCAAGCATTCTGAAGCCTGCTGAAGTCTAACTAATATTGTGTACACAGAAGATTGGGTTGTGTCTGGGTATTGTCAAACTTAAAACACACCCACTGAATTCAGTGAGATTTGTATCATCCATTGGGTCTATTGAAAGAATGACTTGACTGGATCCAGTTTCTTGATTCATATAAAATAAAGAATAAACAGAAAATTTATTTTCTACAAAATTGTGCTTAAAACCCAGACAAAGGAAGAGTTAAATATGGGAATATTAAACTAAAACAACTAGGCAGGCTGGGCCCAGCCTTTAAAATAACTATGCAGGCCTGGCTCAACCTGATCTAGTTTTAAAATGGTGAGTACAATATGTATGTTATGTCTTTACTTGAAAACAGTTTTTCCACAACCTAACTAGCAGTTTAACCAAGCAGGAACATATTATAGGAAATGAACCATGAAAGTAAAAGGGTTTTAATCCCCCTCTCCTCTACACATAACTCAGTGGATTATGGTAGTTCAAATGAGTATTTAATGAGGTTCAGCACAGCCTCTGTTGGCAGAAAATTTCCAGTTTTCGTTTAAACCCCCATCTTGCTTTCTCATCAGATTTGTTGCGAGGGGGAATTAAACCCAGTCTGCATGAAGGAGCAGAAACCAAAGCAAGACCCGTAATATCAGAAAACTCAATTTGCCTGCAAAAGTTGCAGTACAGTTAAATTAAGGGAATCAGAATACTGTATATAACAGAATAGAATAAAACTAGCTCTGGAATAGTACTCTTAGAACATAAGAATATAAAATATAAATTAATTAGATATTTGTATTTCCTCCTTTTACATTCTTATGTAGTTAGACAGACAAATAGACAGATGATTCTTCATTTTTGAAGAACACCACTTCCATCAGATTTAACATGGAGAGGGGCTGGAGAGACAGGCAGTTAAAGTATCCTGTTGATGGGCACACAAACAGCTAACCAGACCAATATGAGCCAAGAAAATACTGAAACAATGGGGACTGGTCAGCTAATCCTAGACTCATTGTGTTGTCAGGATGTTACATCCTTGCTTTCTCTCTTTTTTTCTGCATCTTCTATTCTTTTTATTTCAAATTCTTTAGCTCCTTATTTGACAGTGTTTTGTCAAACATTTCAGTTTCAAACACAGGAGTGCACAAATATGTAAAGTATATACTAGAAAAGTTTATATGTCTCTAACATACACTTATTAAAGTGTATGTTTAAAATTAGATCTATGAATAGAAGCATTCAGAACAGAGCAAAATGTAAACAATATTTTAAAAATTATATTCCATAACAGGAAAACCATCTAACAGCTTAATCTTGGTTAGATCACTTAGAAATGAGAAACTAGTTTCTATATTAAATATTAAGAGTGTATCCATATTGCTGGTTCTATATACTCTTGATCCAATGGTGTAACCCATCCCAACCAATAATTTAAAACTGAGGATTTAAGGATGAACAAGAGAAATAAGATGGACGGACTATCTAAACTATTTTCAAGGAAGAAAACACATACTTCAACCATGGAATGGTTGCCAACTTAACTGGCTCCAAATGGGGAAAGGTCAAATTCAAAGATGGGCTGATCAGGAGCGGCTAGTCATGATGGCTATATAACTATCGTCTCTATGGGCAGAGGCAGGGCTCCCCTGTATATCCATTGCATTGGGAGCATGAATGTGCAGGGGCTCTTAGGTCTCGTAAGTAACTGTTTAGCCACTGTGGACCAAAATGGTGGACCAGCCCAGGCCCTTCTTACATTCCATGGTCCTTCATATAAATCTTTCGTTTCTTCTCATACAAAGCCTAACCAGGCACAGCATTCAGTGGACTGTGTAACTATGTAACCTGACCTTTTAGATCACAAGCATACTGCAAGATGACCCTAATGCCCATTCAAATGTTCAGTACCTAAATGCATGTACTGTACATCTTCAACAGTAATCAATGTTACAAATATTAAAACTGTGTTTTTAGACCACTTCCAATGATTGCATGGAAAGACCCTATGTGCGTCCTCTCTCATTTCAGAAAGCAGCATTAACACAATCTCATCAATGCATGTGGGTGAATACAATCAACGGCTGCTCGAAGCAAGCACTCAGTTCAAGAAGAAGCAAGGAAATGGAACCATTGATGTGTGGTGGCTGTTTGATGACGGAGGTAAGCCAGACTGTGCAAATGAACATCAAACAGACAGGAGAATATGTGGGCATGGTCAGTTCAGGTCTGCAAAATATCATCATCATCACCATACTACCCCTCCAACCTTTTCCCACCAGCACCATCATCTCAAATACCCATGTGATTAATTCATACAAATATCCATATACCAAAAAAATGCAAGTTCTAGAACAGCAAGCCTTGCAATAGCATTAACACTGTTTTACGCAGGAAGTTCCTGAACTGGAACAAAAGTTTGGGTATAACTCTAACAAAACATACACAAAGCTTTAAAAAAATTAATATAATTAAATTTGTTTACCTAGGGTTAATACTTCTCATTCCCTACCTGCTTACTCTTCGGAAAAAATGGAAGGATTGTAAATTGAGAATCTTTGCTGGTGGAAAAGTCACTCGCCTTGAAGAGGAAAAGCTAAAGTATGTACAATATGTCTTACAGCTTCTCCTGCCAGGTTTAGTTTTCATTATTATTATTGCTATTGTTTAAGGGTTAGGAGATTATTTGCTTTATCAGCCCTGCCTAGTGGTTTGTTATCAGACCTACTCAGATAAAGGAACTCACACAGCTTCATCCAAGTTAAGTCCTAAACAGATACTAGGCATCCATGGTAGTATCAAATCTTTCCAATGTTATCTCCTTGCAACACTGTTCCAAGATACTGTGTATCATCAGTGTTATTATTACCATGTTCTTTGCTACTGTTACTTAAGTTTAAGATGAACCTAAAGCTCTAGCTAACTAGGGACTGCTGGATTCTCTTCATAGAAGAAATATTCTGCATACAGAACAGTACCTGAGCCTGAGAAGAGTGGAGAAGCACCCACTCATATAATGCAGAATATCCAGCACATTTTATAAATAAAAAGCACTCATTAAAGTACTTTTAATATATTTTGATATTTCATGGCAAGTACAGTAATTAGTAAATCCCACTGAGTTTTTAAGTGAGTGAGTATTGGATTGCAACCCTGATGCTTTAGTTGCTTATCAGTGTTCTCACTCAAGAGATTTAAAAACAATTTCCCTTTTTTCAGAATGGCTTCTCTTTTGAGTAAATTCCGAATAAAATTTGCTGATGTTAACATAATTGGTGACATCAATATGAAACCCAACAAGGAGAGGTAAGAGTAATTTAACACATTGTAAATAAGGAGTTGAAATGAAAGGTGGCAAGATGTATTTTATTTTGCTAATCTTCACTAATTTTCTAATAAAGCAACTCAGAGGAAACTGTAAGGAGTTATTTCTCTGGAAGCAACTCAGAATTTCTAAGAGTTAGAAAGTTATATGCTGACATTTTACCAAGCAAAAGTACAGTTTCCCCTTACCACTGTTGGTAGCCCTAGGCTTTCAATGGGAATAGCACTGGGGCCTAACATACAAGCACTGGGAAGAACCAAGTATGGATATTTTGGGGAGGGGGATCAAAGAAAATTTGAGAAGTTTACTCTAGTGATGCAGAGTAGCACAGAGAAGCCAGGAAAAAACATTTTTAAAAAATCTTCAGGTGAGGATGATGTTTTAAAAAGCTCTTTGTTTTGTTCTTGTGCACCCCATCATGAATTCATTAAACCTCTGTGTTATTTATTATTTTACGACAAAGATAATGGGAGACGTGAAGAGATGGCAATGACAAATGCAGACCTATCTAGACAAGGTTTGGCCACAGTGGAAGTGCACAGCTATAACAGAGCATACAAACTGATTTATACGGCTTAAAGAATTTTGAATGTAATTCAGCTACAGTTCTACAGCCAAGGGTATGTCCTGCATTAGAATATCTGTGAAGTAATGAATTACAGTCCTGCTGGGAGCCTCCTTTATAATTTCTGTTCCAGCTGGAAATTCTTTGAAGAGATGATTGAACCCCATCGCCTTCATGAAAGCTGCAAAGATTTAACAACTGCCGAGAAATTAAAGAGAGAGGCACCATGGAAAATCACTGATGCAGAACTAGAAGCATTCAAGGAAAAGGTAAAGAAGCCTACCTCTTATTGCTTAGGGCATTGTTAGATGACTGTCTGAAAATAGTGCACAGGTAATCTAAAAGAAAACAATGCACATGTAATTTAAGAATAGAACCAGTGTAACTGAGTGGATAACATACTGGCTCCAGGCTTTGGTTCTAATCCCTGCTCAGCCATGGAAAGTCAGTGGGGATGGCAATGGGAAGCTCTCCTGGAACATCTCACCTACCTCAAAAACCCTGCAAGGGTTGCCGTATGTTGCAACTGACTTGATGGCATGCACCATACATACACAAATTAAAACTTGTAAACCACATTTTAATTAGGACAAAGAGAACCAGAGACATTTACACCTGTAGAGCACACTACTGTCCTACCCAACTCAAAACAAAGCAAAACAAAAAACGTGACATTCTGCCAGTAAAAATGGAGATGGGAGGGAGGTGGAAGCAGCTCTGGGAAGAACAGATGATAATCACCAGTATCTTGTTTATTATTTACCACATGTGGAGCTACAGTTCCGGAAACAGAAGTGGTTCTGTAGTGAGGTGCTGGTCACATGTGCCATTTGTAACTCTATGTGTATTAATTATCAAGAAATATTTTTATTTTGTTTTCACCTACAATGCTTGCACAGCCTAACATGGCTACCACTTCTACAACTAAATATCAACAGAAACTGGTCAATGTTATTTAGACTTCCTGTACAACATAAGGAAATAATCCATGACCATTCCACACGAAATGCCTAACGTGGCAATTCCCCTATGCTTCAAGTATATTCACATAAAACCTTGCCTCAAAGTCAATCATTCCAATGTTTTCACCAATCCAATGACAAACCTGGTTGTATTTTACTTTAAACAGAGCTATCGTCAGGTCCGTTTGAATGAACTTCTACAGGAACACTCTCGGGCTGCTAATCTGATTGTTCTGTAAGTTGTGCCATTATAATTTTGCCATCATCTGCTAGGAGATTTTTAGGCAAGAGCTCAAGGTTGAATCTTGAACAGAGGTTAATTTGTGAGTGCAAATCCCCACATTTTCATGAGAATAAAAGCAATATACAGCCTGATATTGACCCTTTAGATAACTTCAATCACTATGCTACTATGTGATTGCCCATTTAAAGATGTACGGTTTCATCTGATCAAAGAATATGTGAATGACTGCCAGTTTTAAATTACATCCTGGATCAGACAACATATCTGGCTCATTGGGCACCTAGAAATTTTGTGCCTGCCCTCATATATTTTGAAGGGGATATAAAATGGACTATTACTAAGACTGTCATCCTGTTCTATTCCACAGGAGCCTACCAGTTGGAAGAAAAGGAATTGTATCTGATTACCTCTATATGGCTTGGTTAGAAATTCTCTCAAAGAATCTGCCTCCAGTTTTGCTCATCCGAGGCAACCACAAAAACGTACTTACATTTTATTCTTAGCAAGCACCTCTGGAAATTGCTGTCCAAGAATACCTGGGTTACCCAAGGTTGAGAACCACTGCCTTAGAATGTACTCCTCAAATCATGGAAGAATCACCTTGGTGTCACTGTCTGACAGGAAAAAAAACTGATTGTATCCACAAACAGCAATTTCAATTCTCTAGTACTGGTCCTTTCATAGCCAACACAGTATCATCCATGCACAAAAGCAGACTTGGCAGAGCCCCCAAGGTTTACAAATGTACAAAATTAGCATTAGGGAGGGAAGTTCTGGGGGGGAGGGAGAGACCTTTATCCAAAGCAGGCCAATGAGAACTAATGATATGCAGTGGCCACAGGAAGCTGACAGTTCAACAGGGGAAAATGGAATATAGAACCCTGAAAGAGATGGAAGGGAGCATCCTGGAAGTCAACAAACAACAGCCCACACTGGACCTTTTTGTTGTAGGTCATACTTATAATTCTCAGTGCTAATGTATTCCCTACATAAGAGGCATCAACGAAAATTTTAGTTGATATTATTTTACAGATGTTGCAGATTACCTAACTGGTAAGAATGTATTATTTTCAAACACTGCAATCTGGTGGTCCAGCCGAGCAGAAAAAGAAAAGTTTATATTATTGTTCATTCTCTCCCTGAACTCAAATTTAAATGCATCACAGCAACATCATACTCACGTAACTTCATTATGTGTGGGGCTTCCTCAGTGGAACAGGATTTTGGCTACAGCCTAGTTCCTTCACGCCAGTATAATATGCAGGAAGGAGCCCATGAAAAACTGCAACAGATCCAAACGAGTTTTCAAATTATTATATGGAAATAAATTGCAATCATATTTAATCACTACACTCACACAAGTGTCAAAACAAGATTAATTATGATAACTAAAAATTTATAAGGTTTCATTTGCACATATTTCATATGATTTCTCTAGATTTATAAACTCAATAAATGTTTTTAATTTATTTGGGTAAATTGCACCTTGAAACAAAAGTGATATTCTTTTAACATACATTTTAGACTTTTCTGATTAGTATGAAATATTTCAATTGTTAGACTTGGAACAATACTATTTCAAGGAGAAATAAACTAAAGTAGATTGAAATATGTGCTCCAACATGCTGTTTCTATTGCATGCTTTAGTGTACTGTTTTTTATTGTTTCAACAAGAAAATCGTTCCAGAGGGCACGGGCTTTGGCAGCACAAACTCCAAAGAGTCCTGCAGCATCTTTTGTGGTCCTCTGTGTACGCAATACAGAAAACTGCACACAGAAAACAGCAGAATAAAACTCTGCTGATCCTCCTCCACCTCACTATTACCATTATCATCACCTTTATAATCTCAGATTCAAATTAATGGGCTCTTGTTGAATAAAATGCAATGCCTTTAGTCATATTTTCTGTAAAAAAAAAATCCAATAGTTTGTTTGTAGCAGTACTTTGTGTTTATTTAGCACCCTAGAAAAGCACTTTTATCAGGTGAAACCCAAATCTGCATCCTCAGTCTTAAACTAAATTTCCTGTGTATGTGTGGCGAATGCTATCAATTCCTCATCAGTAAGGGCTGATATTTTGTATAGCGATGCATATATTGGATGGAAGCACTTGAGCTACTGCTATGAAGCTACCTTTCTCTCCCTCCTAAGAGAATCATCTGGGGCCAAGAGAAGCACATGGCACTAACATAATTTACAGAATTCATGATTTTTCACCAGACACAAAGACAGCCATGAATTTAGTTCATTTGCACGGGTGGAGAAATAAGCTTGGACCAATTTCAGCCTCTCGGCTTCTTACATCTCCCATGTTAGTTTTTGCCAAAATAAAATTGCCAGCTCAAACAAAAGGCACTTTGCACTCCCTCAGAAACAACTTCTCTTTTACGACACGTTAATTCCCTCTATACGCTGGGGATGAGTCTCAGGGTTACAAAGTAATTGCCAGTTGAGGGACATTGTTTATTCCAAGCATAAGCTCTTTTTAAAACCTATTCCTGAGGTACCAAAGATGTCCCTCCCTTGCCTCCCACCTCCAGGGTCCAAGGGCCCCTTTAAAATGCCCTTAACAAGGCATCCCAGGGAAGCCACTTCAATCATAACCTAAAAGGGCACCTTGCACCACCCTCAATGAGGGCCAAAAAGGATGCTAATTTGCATGTGTGGACTTACTATATGTTCAGACACTGACTTAACAATAATATTACAATAAACTCATACAGAATAGCAATACAACTCACAGGCAGAGGGGGAGGCAGGGAGGGACCAAGGGATCCATGCACCCGCCACTGAGGCCGCTGCTGAAAACTGGGGATGATGGGCCCCACCAAGGCTCCCTCCACACAGATTTCCATAGTTCTTCAAGCCAGGCTTGCACGGGGCACCCTTTCAAACTAAGGACCTCTTTAAGCCGTGCATTATAGAAGTTTCATGTTGGGTGCCTTCACACGAAACAAAATGCATTTTATGTAAGCCTAGAGCTGAGTTATTTTGTTTCTTGCATCTGAGGAAGGGCTATCATCTTCCAAAAACTGTCTGAAATAAAGGATTAGCTTTCTTATTTTAGACTGTTAAAACTTCAGTCCTGTGGGAAGACTCTCTTCAGTTTATTCGGGTTTTTCATCCTTCCAAGGTCAGTAAACTGACTATCCACCTCCATGGGGAGGGGGGCAAATATGAGCAGCATCCTCGTTAAACTGTAACATACACACCCCAAGCGCTTTAAATACTGCGGAGCAGTATAATAAGCAGCACATTTTGCTTTAGGAGCCTCAGGTTGCATTGGTTAAACTGCAGGATCGCAGTGAAGACTCTGCTCGGGACCTGAGTTTGATTCTGATGGGATTTAGGCAGCCGGCTTAAGGCTGACTCAGCCTTCCATCCTTTCGAGGTCGATAAACTGAGGGCCCAACTTGCTGGTGGGGGGTGGGGGAAGCAATTATACCTAGCCTGCCTAATTAAATTATAGACGCCCTACCCGCATAATGCTGTAAGCGTGAATTGTGTGTGTGTGTGGGGGGGGTGTTTCTCTGGCTCTCCTTCAGCCTCAGCTCCGAGAGGCCGGCCTGGCCTTCCTCCCTCCCTGCCAGAAAGGCCCGCGTCCTCTTTTAACTCTGTGAGGAGGAGGAGAAAAAACACCGCCAGGCGCCATCGCTGGGCTGCCCTTCACATTCCCCTCAGGCTCTACATTCAACCATTCCCCACCGAGGGCCGGGGCAGCCCTCGCGCCTTTTTTCCCCCCCGTTGTCCTCGCCGGCCTCAGACGGAAGCCCAGCCAGGGCAGCTTCGTGAGGGGCAAATTCGGAGAGCCAAGCCCGGCGCCATGTCGTGGCGCTTCCTGAGGCGACTCCTCCGAAAGGGCAAGCCAACGGCCGCGTGGAGAAGGGAGGGGGGGCGAAAGAGGGAGCCCGCCAAAAATAAAGCGGGCCTCCCACCCGGGGACGCCGCGGGAGGG